CTGGTCGGTTGGTGACTCTTGGGCCTGCCGATAGGCCTCCATCTGTGACACGGGTGGCACCTGGAATGTGTTACCTTCCACGGGGGCATCGGTGAGTCAGAGAAATTCAGACCAACAACACCAGGGCAAAGGAGCTGGAGAAAAAGAAAACGCGTTAAACTGTCTGGAACCAGATGGCCCAGAGGCAGAAGAGGCTGGGGAAGGCCTCTAACATACTCACCTCTGTTCCTCCAGCTCCCTCGTAGCCGGAGGCAGGACAGGGGTATCATTTCCCAAGCTCCAGGTGCTCAGGTTCGGGGGAGGAGAGAGGACAGGGGTAGGCATTTCTATCATGAATGGTAGGCCTGTCTGAGGCCCTGAGTAGAGTATGCCTGTGTCCCCAGCACCGAGCACAATGCCTGGGAGGTAGGCACTCAATAAATAGTAAAGTTACTTATAAGTCAATGAATCAAGGAACGAACCAGCTGAGCAAGGGTTAGTGTCAAAATCCATGAGTGTCAATGACAGTGGGTCATTGTGTATTCCTCACCGTGGATTTCTAAGACGTTTATCGTGCTGAATCAAATTGAACAAAGTTTTAGCTTATTCTGCCATTTATCATTCATAATTTTCCTTTGAATTTAATTTTTCTTTTTTCATTCTCACCTGAGGATATTTTTATCATTGGTTTTTAGACAGAGTGGAAGGGAAGGAACGAGGGAGGGAGGGAGGAAGAGAGAAACATTGATGTGAGAGAGACACATTGATTGATTGGTTGACTCCCGCATGACCCGACTGGGGCCTGGGAATCGAAACTGCAACCCAGCTTTGTGCCCTTGACCGGGAATTGAACTCGAGACTCTTTGGTCCCTGGGCTGATGCTCTAACTGCTGAGCTTTGGGAACTGCACACCATGTTCCAAAAACACATTTAACAATAATTCCTCATATTTTTACAGTACTTTGGGATTTACAAAATGGTCACTTTCATTATCTTCTATTTGAGTCACGGCAGAGTAGGGTTAAAATAAAATGGACTTTGGAGTCAGAAAAATGTGGCTTCAGATTCCAGCTCTAACATTTGTTGTCCATGTGGCTTTAAATGTTTAGACCTCAGTTTTGTCATCTGCAAAATGGGTAGGAATACGGATCTTACTTACCAGGTAATGGATAAAATGGCAGCTGCTGTTATCATTGTTACTTCCGTTATGATCACCAGGGATCCATTTGATAATCCCTGCGGAAAGGTGAGCAAGTATCAGCTCTCTCAAGGCAAAAGAGGAAAAATAAGAGTAAGCAAATATGCTTGGAGACTACACGACTGTTTCCCCCCTTAGGTCCACCAGCGGATGGTGATGAACACAAAAATCCAGTTGAAAACCAAAAACATCCTCATGTGCTCATATTGGTTCTCCAAGATCACCTTCTCTGTTTCCTCATTTGGATTAGAATGTTAGATCTCAGACTGCTTGATCACCAGATTTCTGGGCCTACCCCATAAGATTCTACTTTGGCTCATATGGGCTAGAACTCCAAATATCTGTGTGTGTGTAGAATACCCTAGATGTGTGTAATCACCAGTCAAGCGTGGGCACCACTGAAATAGAGGCTCCCCAGTGGCAAGCCCATAGCCTTTGGAGTTACTAATGGTGTTTTTGTGAGACTGGGGGAATTGATCATTTTTTTAAAATTTATTTTTATTTTTTTATCCTCGCTCGAGGACATTCTTGCATTTATCTTCAGATAGAGCAGGAAGGAGAGAGGGAGGGAGAGAAAGAGAGAAACATTGACGTGAGAGAGACACATCGAGTGGTCGCCACCCACAGAACCCCAACCAGGGCCAGGGACAAACTGCAACCGAGGTATGTGCCCTTAGCGGGAACCGAACCCGGGACTCTCTGGTCCGCGGGCCAACGCTTTAACCGCTGAGCCAAACCGGCCAGGGCTGAATTGATCATTTTTAAGGAGAAGATGTTTCCTTTTCTACTAGAGATCTCTATCTTTATAATATATATATATATATATATATATATATATATATATATATATATATTTATGTTTTTAGAGAGAGAGGAAGGGAGAAAGAGATAGAAACATCAGTGTGGAAATTGAACCCGGACTTCTCAGTACATGGGACAACGCTCAATCCACTGAGCCACACCGGCCGGGCGAGATCTTTATCAGTCTCTAGGGAGGAGCGACGCTCAGGCTGAGGGTTACTCTGAAACTCCTCTAAAATTTATTGAAGAACAAAAAAGTTGGATAAGGGAAGGAGGACCTCAGAGGTTGGTGCTTTATTAATATTTGCACAAACCCCATAGACTGGAACTCTTAGTATTTTGAGATTTCGGCTCAACTCCTTGGAAGATCTCAGTGGAAGAACTAACTGCCTTGGTTTCAGTGGGGAATGATGACACCCGTGAAGTACCATGTGCTTGTTTTACAATTACGTCTGCAAAGAACACAGAGTGGCCCTGGCCAGTTTGGCTCAGCAGTTAGAGCATCGGCCTGCGGTTCCGAGAGACCCAGGTTCGGTTCCCACTAAGGGCACGTACCTCCGTTGCAGTTTGTCCCCGGCCCTGGCTGGGTCGTGAGGGTGGCAGCCACTCGATGTGTCCCTTTCACATCGATGTTTCTCTCTCTCTCTCTTCCTCTCTCTCCCTCCCACTCTGTCTGAACAAAAAAAAAAGGAAAAATGTCCTCGAGTGAGGATTAAAACATAAAAGAGCACAGAGCGGTGGACTCAGGGATGGCCGAGAGATGTGGCCCTCAGGAAGACGTTAATGCTGCGATCAGACCCTAGGATGCAACAGTGTGGATGATGAAGTGGGGGGTGGGGGATTGTTTTAGACCTAATTTATCTGAAAAGCAGGTCCCATCAGGAAATCCTATTTACATTTGTGGGAGGAGAGGAGACGGACCACAGCGAAGAAGATCCTGGAGCTAGGAGTCCTCTGGAGGGTATAAACATTACTGCATTACTTTTCAGGAAAAACAATGAGCTCTAAGGCGGACCTTGTAAATATCATGCAGCCACCGTGCCTTGCGAATGTTTCCACCAGGCAACATACTGTGTCTACAGTTTGGGTCACACAAATTAAGATAAGCAGCCCCCTCCCCACCCAGGAAGCTTGTTTTAATCACAAAACCATTTAAGAATCAGAAAAACAACAACAACAAAAAACAAAACCAGGAAATTTGAGGCAACAGCAAGGTATCATGACAGACTGAGACTCTGCGTTGGGTTTTAAAAGTTGCTTGTTTTGCAGTAAATATATTTTAATAAGGAGAAAACATACCTTAATTAAGGTGCATTCTTAATTTTAAGAAAATCTAAACAGCCCTGGACAGTTTGGCTAAGCGGTTGAGCGTCAGCCTGCGGACCAGAGAGTCCCGGGTTTGGTTCCTGCTAGGGGCATGTACCACAAAAAAAGAAAATCTGCACAGATGTTTTTACAGTTTGAATTAATTACATTAAGTTGAATGATGCCAAAAATGAAATAATTCTCAACAAGGTTGATGAGTTAAACCAACATTCTAAGACAAACATAGTTTGCAACTCTAAGTGAACAAACATTACAGCTTTCTACCGTAAACATTTACAACTGGAATTTCCCCTAGTAAACTTACTCTCTTTTAGTGTTTCATATAAATAATCCGTGGAACATTGAAAACAAATCTTGCAATCTTCTGGGAGACATTCTTTGCCCTTGTAGAACATAGACATAGAATTTTAATTATATGGGTTCCATGGTGTAATGGTTAGCACTCTGGACTCTGACTTTTAATTATTTGATACAATGCATTATAGGTCCAGATTTTACTTTAATTTTGAAGTAATAGTTTTGTAAGTATTCACTTATCTTTTCCTTATTTAGCTGAAAAAAATAAAATAGGCCACACCTTGCCTTCTTAATGCATTTGTGTAAAAATTGTTCTTAACTTTTGAAGGTTGTTCGTTAGCTACTAACCAAGGTCATGGCTTCTGCTTCAGGTATATATTCCAGCCAAGGATTCCAGCAGTGACAGAGAGGTACACCCGTGACTCAACTCAGAGAGTCACAGGTTAAACCAGAATTGATTGGACACCTTTTATTATGTGGTGACCTCCAGGTCAGATGGCGTGAGCAAGAACGTGAGAAATGGAAGAGTTCCTGCCCTTGAGAACCTTACAGCTAGCGGGCCAGACATGATGTCATACGGGAACTATGAAAGAACATTCAATTATATATATAAATATATACACACACTGTGTGCCCTGCCTGGAGTGGGCATGTGTTTGGGAGCAGGTGTGTCTAGAATGATAGCCAGGCAACCAGCCTGGAGACAATTTGGAAAAGCAATGAAGAGCTGAAGATTTCTTTTATTTTACTTTCCAACTTGCCATCTTCCCTTTTTTTTGACTACCTATTGTATTCTGGAATACAGAGTAAAAACAGAGAGCCACGCCAGGCCAGGAGCAAAGGGAATTAACTAGATGACTTTTCCTGGAGGTCTCAAGTTTGCACAGTCCAGCTCTCAAAATACATGCATGTCGATTCAGTGGTGTTTGAAACATACTGAGTCATCCTGGTGAGTCAGGACGTTTATTGGCATTTACTGTGTAGACTGTTGCCAAAGCCTTCCTGCTGGGTCTCTGCTTCTACTCTTGGCCCTTATAGTCCACTCACCACACAGAGGTCCTTGGCCTTGGACGCCAAGAAAAGTGTGGGAATGAAGAGGAAGGACAAGTCCTGAGCTTAGCCTGTGACTCTCTCACATGGCCAGAGACCACTGTGCTAAGACCGGGCAGATCAGTTCCCTTTAAACAGTCAAATTGTAGCGAGGAAGCACCATGAAGAGGGACTTGGTGGTGGTCAGTACACAAACTCTTTCTCTACAAAGTGTCGTTAGACATTCTTAAAGGCTGCTGTGTCCAGCATCCACGTGTTCCTGTCATGACCTTTATGTGCTGAAATGTCTCTGGTGTTCTCCCGCCCCCGCTGACGGTCGGGTCTCAGCCTTCGTATGCTTTCGTTTCAGTTGCCACGAGTCATCCTACAGCTAAAGACTACACCGTGGACATTGAGATCAGTTTTGAAAATGCCTCCTTCCTGGAGCCTGTCAAAACTTACTTGAACAGCCTCAGTTTTCCAATTCAGGGCAATGACACCGACCAAGCTGCCAACATTCTGAGCGTCGAAGTGACAACCGGTGAGGAAAAGACCCTTGGCTTTAGAACGGGGGGTGGGGCACATCGGGAGCAAGGCGGTCTGAACTCCTTGCAGTGCGAGCAAACTGTGCCTCGTAGGCAACTGAAATGACCCCGTGGGCCTGATATGTGATTTTATAACTTCATAGTCTTCCAGATGAAGTCACTGTGGGTAAACTCTGCAGCCAGTTTGCTTATTTTAAATGGTGAGCAAATGTTTGCTTGGTAATTTGTTTGTTGGTTGTCACAAAGTAATCCCAAGATAAGGCTATGACAAGGTAAAAGGGAACCTCTTACCCTGGGCAGTCAGTGCAGGCTCAGGATACTGATAAGTAGCATGTTTCCTTCTTTTCTTTGGTATCAAAGTTCAGGAAATAGGAACCAGGTACATGCCTGGATCAGAGGTAAAGCATGAAGCAGGCCCTCCCAGATTATGGGACTGGACTTTCTGGTCGCTGTCTCCCTTTGAAGGTCATGCTAGCTCTTGTCTGGCTCAGGGCACCGTCACCTTTATGCCATAGCAGCTGTGAGATGGGACTGCCCTTTGTCCTATAAAAGGTTACTGTTTTGCAAATAGCTAAGAACTACGCTGTTGGCTTTATTATTCTAAAATGGTGGCAAGAATAAAATTCTTATCTTTCGAAATCTTTTTGAACTCTCATATTTAAATAGTCCATTTTAATATCGGTCTATGCATCTTAGTTTTTAGTTCTTAACCTACACTGTTGGAACCTAAAATAGCTGCCTTATAGCTGCCTCTAGATGCCGCTCCCCACCAACTTCTACGTGAGCATTAATTTCCTTGAGTTTCCCCGGGGTTCATCATGAGCCACCCGTCATGTCTCTCAAACGTATTTGCGAACAGGACTCTTCCATAGAACATTTCACAAAACCAGTCATGTTGGAACAACATGGGAAACACCTGTCTGTCTCCGCTCAGCACGGATCTACGTCTAAAACTGTTTCCCCTATTTATGGAGAAACATTAAAAATTTGATAGATTTTTAGTCAATTTTGTTTTGCTTCCCAATTTAATTTATTTTTTTTAAATGGAAACCTTTGGTATCTATTTGGGTACTAGAAAGCAAACCTAGTAAACAACATAGACCCATAAGTATCACACGGGTAAGTTGTTCGTTTTTGTTGAACAGCTTGTGATCGTTAACACTGGAGCTTTCGCTGGGAGCTAATGTCATGGACGGCGAGTGCAGACGTAGTAACACATGCTCCCTGGAGGAGGTGTGATTTCAGGGGCTCCACTGTTTCTGCCGTTTTAGAAACTTGTGAACCCAATTTGGGTTCACAAGTTTACACATTGAATGAACAAGTTTACAACTCCCATGAACAAGTTCCTCTTTTAAGATGCAAATGCTCTGGGAAAGTTGAATTTATCCTGCCAGCAAGACTGGGCATCCCCACGCTGACGGGGTGAGACGTCCCCGAGAGCTGACTGACAGAGCCTCCGGCTCTCGTGACCAGCTCTCGTGACCAGCGGGGAGGTTGACCTCAGAGAGGAGGGGATGGGATGGGTGGGCGATAAAGATTAGACTTACTGACCACAATACTAATGTGTGAACACCCCCCAATTTTCTCCATTCCCTCTTCCCATGCCTCCCCCTGTCCATTGTTCCAACAGCTTACCTTCTGATCCTTTCAAGAAAGGCATTTTTTTTTTTTTTTTATCCTCACCCGAGGATATTTTTCCATTTTTTGTACAGATAGAGTGGGAGGGAGAGAGAGGAAGGGAGAGAGAGAGAGAGAAACATCGACGTGAAGGGACACATCGAGTGGCTGCCACCCGCACGACCAACCAGGGCCGGGGACAAACTGCAACCGAAGTTCGTGCCCTTAGCGGGAACCGAACCCGGGTCTCTCTGTACCGCAGGCCGACGCTTTAACCGCTGAGCCAAACTGGCCAGGGCAAGAAAGGCATTTTTAATAGTAGCAAACAAAACTAAGGGCCAGACAGTGTATGTAGAGCATCAGATAGCACCTGGAATGCGGTAGGTGGTCTGGTGATGACGCTTGTGTCATCCTCTTAAAGCACGTTAGTATTTCACATGGGAGTCAACGTTTTTTTTTTTTTATCCTCACCCGAGGACATTTTTCCATTTTTTTGTACAGATAGAGTGGGAGGGAGAGAGAGGAAGAGAGAGAGAGAGAGAGAGAGAGAGAGAAAGAGAGAGAGAGAGAGAAAGAGAGAGAGAGAGAAACATCGACGTGAAAGAGACACATCGAGTGGCTGCCACCCGCATGACCGACCAGGGCTGGGGACAAACTGCAACCGAGGTACATGCCCTTAGCGGGAACTGAACCCGGGTCTCTCCAGACCGCAGGCCGATACTCTAACCGCTGAGCCAAACCGGCCAGGGCTCAACGTTCTTCAAACACTCCCCCGCATCCCTCTCAAAAACAAACAAACAAAAGCCTTGGCAGTGGGGTCTCAGGTCGGTAAGAGAAAGATGTCGACAAAAGGGGGTCTTGTCGGCTCCCTTCCAATCCCCCCACCAATGTTCACCACCCTCGCCAGCAGCCTGGATTTCCTCTGTTCCATATGCTTCTGCTCAGCTCCCACCAAATACTGGAGCACAGGCCTGCATCAGTGTCCAGGGACCCACTGGAACTTAGTTCATTCAAAGCCCCCCGTGTTCAGAGCACTTTCAACGTCCCTGTGGGATCAGAGTCTGTTTGGGCTGCTTGAATTTGATATGAAATGTAAAAGGCACAATTTTACTTGTACTCTTTATTTGCTATCCCTTGCTGCATAACAAATCACCCCAAAACTTAGCATTCAAACAACAAACATTTATTAGGGCACACCGTTTCTGAGGGCCAGAAGTCTGGGAGAAGCTTAGCAGGCTGTGGCTCAGGGTCTCTCATGAGGTGTCATCAAGCTGTCAGCCAGAGGTGCAGTCACCTGAAGGCTCAACCAGGGGTGGACAATCCCCTGCCAAGCTCACTCGCGTGATTCTTGGCAGGTCTCAGTTCCTCACTAGCTGTTGGCTGGAGACCTCGATCCCTCCCACTGTGGGCCTCACTGTGATGTGTTCTTGTGTGATGGCAGCTGGCTTCCCCCAGAACACGTGATGCAAGAGAGAATAAGAGAGAGCCACCAAAATAAAAGCCACAGTGTCTTTTATAACCTCATCTCAGAAGCGACATATCATTACTTCTATTATGGTCTATTGGTCACACGGACCAACCCCAGTACAACGTGAGAGGGAACTACAAAACGGTTTGAATACCCAGAGGTAGGGATGGTCAGGGCCCATCTTGGAGGCTGGCTACCATACAGTTTGTCCAGAAATCCGTTTATCACAGTATTATTGTAGGCCTCCGCTGGGCTAGTCGAAGTAGTCATCTTTGAGATGTCCATGCCTATGGGAGTCATGGAAACCTCACGCAGTACTATTGAACTTCCTAGAAGGGCAATGCTAAATTGAGTTAGTCTACAAATAACCCTTGTGTCTATAAATGCAATAGTGGTGACCACCTTCTCTCTCCTCACTGTTCTGGTTGATGACAGTCTGCAGACCTACTGGAAATGAAATCTGGTGCTCCTGCGAGACAGGCTACAGGTGGCCTCGGGAACAGTGCGCCCACAATCTCACTTGTCAAGACTATGGCAACTCTCCTGTAGGGCGTCCCTGCAATTGCCTTAAAGGACTGCCTCCCAAGGGGCCTTTCTGCCAGCTCCAGAGAGGTAAGTAACTGCTCACTAAATGTTCATTTACTGAGTGGCTATTTGATATCAGATCAAGCACATGCTTCTCTGTCCCATGTGTACTTAAAGGCTAACATGAGATTTTTAAATATTACCCCCTTTTTTCAGCCATAACCCTGAGAATGTCCGTCAGACTTAATGTGGGATTTCAAGAAGACCTCAGGAACATTTCCTCTGCTCTCTTCAGGTCCTACAAGACTGACTTGGAAACAGCGGTAGGTTTTGGCCTCAGGAGCCTCTTAAGCAAACGCTCTTTGGGCTGAACTAAATCTATTGCATTGACTGTGGATAGTTTGTTTGGATCTGTCAGAATTCATGCATGTGGATGTCAGAGTTACTTTTATACATCTAGCATGATGAATTCAGAAGTGCTCGAATCAAACAGTGTTCAGGGGATGATTTGACATCATTTTGACCTGTAGGCGGGACTTCTTCCCAGGAAACAACTGATTCAGATAAGATTTGGTGACATAAACTCCCTGAAACCTATTCAGAGGCCCAAGACCTTGATCTAGAAGCACCAGATGGTACAATTTTACTTATCTTCACACAGCACATGGATGAAAACCCTAACATCTTTTGGGCAGACCTGCTCAGACAGGCATAGAGGACTCCAGACCACTCTCCACTAGCAGTCTCTAGGTGTTCACACTGAAGACAGATTTAAATTTACTCGTGTAAAAAGAGAGACTATTCCCCGGGTGTTAATTATGTGCCAGACACTATTGTCGGTGCTTTACACGGGATGAATTCATCTAAACCTAAATGTTTTACTTGAATTACCTTATTTGGAATAGATCTTCCCAACCAGCGTGACACATATTAGTACAGGTAGACCGAGACAATGACTTTGTGAACTCTCGGGGCAGCTGAGTTCCCGCCTCAGGCCAGGAGCTGACCTGAGTGTGCCACACAGATATGACCGCGTTCCACGGTGCCACGCTAGAGTGGCGCTGATACAGTGGCGCTCTGGGGCGTTGATTCACATATCTGGCATGTGATAGTTCTGCACAGTATGAGAACCCTCCTCATACACACAACAACATGCAAAGTTATGTGCTTTTGGGGAAAGAGAGTTACATATTAATCTTTGGAGCCCACCCATCCAGGTGCCTGATACACAGTACCTTGCACATCGCATCTGCGCTGCAAATGTGACTTGAATCCAGTTGAATTTCCCGTAGGGTTGGTATTCAGAGAAACAAACTGAAGCAAAAACATCATCAACAATCACATTGGCTCAACCAGAGCTGCAACATGTTAAGTGAGGCATGAGGCAGTGCGGTGGCCGTAGATCTCCAGCTACAGGGGGCGTAACTGACCAAGCGCCCCAGCTGCGCCTCTGACAGCCATGAATGACGATGCTCACTGCTCACTGCTAATGAATGAGCTCGGCCGGTCTGTCTTACCCACACGGAACTCCTTTGAAGGCCTTCCTGAACCTTCCCAGGCTCCGTCTAGGATGATTTCAGCCAGCCTTCATTCCCACTCTCTTCCACCTGGGGTCAGATGGCTCGCTCTGCCTTCCTGCTGCCTCCCCCCTATTCTCTCCTAGTTGTTTCTCTGAGTAAATTCTTTGTACATTTAATCTGGTGTTTGCTTTTTGGAAAACCCAGGCTTTCATAGGTAGAGCACAGGAATGACTTCTTCAAAGATCTCTTGATGCCAGAGCTAACAAAACATACGGGAGGACATTTTACTCAGGGTGATAAGGAATGTGTGCTTTTTACCTTGTTGCTAATGTTTGACATTTCTCACTGGACCTTGATCCGTGACACTTTTGTCTTGCTTTATTTTTCAGTTCCGGAAAGGTTACAAAATTTTACCAGGCTTCGAATCGGTGACTGTGACAGGGTTCAGGTAAGAATGTTGTAATTGGGTCATTTCTATCCAACAGCACAGACCAACTCATTAGTGCAAGACAAGCCGGTTAGAGGAGCATCATCTGGGACCGCAACAGGGACAGGTTGCTGGGGCTAAAAGTGGCTGAAATACTGAGCATAGTAGCTCACTTCTTACAGTGGTACCTACTTAGAAGGAAGGTGGGAAAGGACTCCTGTTCATTCTATGCACACAAAAATTTTGCAGACAAAGATATGGGATAAGTTGTAGTTTAAGAAGTTCAGAAATATCAAAGTGAAATCATGTCACTCAATGATGCCTCTATTCAAGAAACTTGACCAGCCAGGACTACTGACACGGGCTGCTGCAGTGTGGATGGCGCCCCCTGGAGTTGGGCACCCTGGCTGACCTGAGAGAGTTTGCACAGTTTTTCTGAAAAGTTTGTTCCCTATGTTAAAAATTAAGAATGTTTACAATCAGGATTTGGGCCCCACTTGACCTGAAGATTCTCTGGTAACCCTGGGCTGTATGACCAGTCTCTACATTGTGGCTGCTGCCCTATGACCAGCTTATGGGACTCGTTCACTCGTCCTTGTCTGGATATTTTGTTCATTTGTGTTACCTGTTCCCGTACATTTGAGTGTGCACACCCCGCCTCAGGCTTGCAACTAGAGCTTGAAAACACGTTGAGTCCAGTGAACCCTTCCTGCCGTTTTGTTTCTCCATACAAATAAACCATGAGGATCTAGACTCTTCCAGGTCAGTTACTGCTTTACTGAACTGAGTGGTCTCCGTCCAGGCCCGGAAGTGTGGTTGTGAATTACGAAATCAGGACTACGACACCATCACCTGGATTCATGCACAGAGCGAATGAGCTGGTGACTCAGAACCTTAATCAGACCTACAGAATGGATGATAGTTCCTTCCAAGCATTTGCTAGTAGTAAGTTGAAAATTGCTACGTTTTTCCTGTGCATAGATTCCATTTAGTATGGCAATGGTGTTTATTGCTATGCTTAAACCTAAGAAATTACACTGTGATGTCCCCTGTGAAGCGAGTCCCTGGCATAAAGGTTTATGTGCCCCTCTCTGTCTTAGGCTGGTGCGGAGCCACCAACAAGGTAAGAGATTTTGCAAGGGGGCCACAGAGCTGTCCGGGTTTGTGGACTTTTTACAATTAACAGGTCCAAAATATCCACAAAAAGAAAACCCAACTTTGTGGTGTAGAATGGGATAGTCATGACATGCACTGATATTAAACAGGTGGCCATTGTTATTTGAGAGTAGTTGTTCTCAAAGTGTGGCCCCCAGACCAACAGCATCAGCAACACCCGGAAGCTTGTTAGAAATGTAAATTCTTCGGGTCGTCCCAGACCAGATGGGGGCAATCTGTGTTCCAACAAGCCCTCCACCTGATTTGATGCACGGGACAGTTTGAGAACCCCTGCTTCAGATCACATCTAACAGTGGTAAGAATCCTGAGATTTCAGATGTTCTCCCACATTTTACAAATGGGGTGCAGGGTGGGACTCTGTTGCGTTAGTAGGTGGGTGGACCTATATTGTTGCTTGAGGGGTATGGGGAGCTGGCTGGGCAGAGATTTGGTGGGCTGGAGTTTGGTCGGCAGATGTCCTGGACCACACAGGCCCTTGGTCCCCGAGAAAGGCGGTTCAAACCTCTTCGGAGCAAGGTGTCCACAGTGGGGGAAGGTGGCGCAAGGACTGTGGAGGGCGAGCTGGGAGAAAGGGTGCCCTTCTCGGCGGCTAGGCTGTCTTCACAGTGGGTTCATGCTTTCTCTTTACGTCTCTGCCGGTGTTTTTAGACAGCAAATCTTTCTCTTTTTTAAAAAAATAAAATATTGAAAGAGATATATGAAGTGGTAAGAAAGTGTCACAATATAAGCAAGATAAAATAAAAATAAAATGAAAATGCAGAATAAATAAGGCAGCAGCAAACTGATGAAGACTGGAAAGCTGAAGAAAGGGGAGTAAGTGGCCCATCAGTGGGACTCACACAGAAACGATCTTCCCAGGGTCACCCCTCCCCCCACCCCACCCGCCAACCAACAGGTGCTTTGCCCTGAAAACTTCTTTGTAGGTACCGTTCTGAGGGCGTGGGGGAGTCGTACTTCTAGCGTAGGCAAGCTTCAGCTCTGAATTTCAGCTGCGCTGAGGATAGTCAGACACTTAAGTTAATGAGCATTCAGCCGTTTTACTGATCGGTGGCTGACTCTCCAGAAAAACGGTGCTGACAGTATAGTTCACAAAAGTGCTTTAGTATCCGTGGTTTCTTCTTCCAAAGAGCAATGGAGTCACTGTGAATGGGGCTCGACCCCCTTTCTGCAGAGGCTATACATCCGTCTCGGTCCTCCTTCAAAGACCACAGTGTGGGTCTGTGATGTCCTCAGCCTTGGACCACTAAACATGAACTTCAGTCATGTACAATTCCCTGGGGAGCTCAGACACCACCCTGCTCTCCAAAGCATTGGTGGTGTTTACCCCAAATACAAATATTCAAAAAAATCCCAGTGACTGAGTGCTTTAAAAATTTATATTTGAGGGGCAAGGGAGAGGAAGAGAACAAGTGAGAAAAATATTGAGTGAATGATTTGGTATCAGGAACTTATTTTTAAATCCACCTTTATGAAACAAAGAAGCACACGGCAGTCTTCAGAACTGATTTTGTCATGTATCAGTCCTCTGGTGATGCTTGATTAATCAGCAGGGTCCTTAACTAGACACCTCTTTCCCTTTTTTTAGAGGTTTAAACACACACACACTCACACACACATTTTTTCTTTATTGATGTTAGAGAGAGGAAGGGAGAGGGAGAGAGAGATAGAAACATTGATGAGAGAGAAAATCGATTGGCTGCCTCCCGCATGCCCCCCACTGGGGATCGGGCCCACAACCTGAGCATGTGTCCTGACTGGGAATTGAACCGGCGACCATTTGGTGCATGGATCAACGCTCAACCACTGAGCCACACTGGCCAGGGAGACACCCCTTTCTTTAATCACTGCCAACAAATTGCTGATCAGTTCTATGCAACCATATGATACTGGCAGTTTAATTAGCTGTAGTTGTTAGCAACAACAGTGATGAAAAGAGAGTGCTGTTACTGTATCTTTCCTAGATTAAGCCCAGTGTGTTCCCCATATTTCACCTTCATATAGTCCACAAGGTAGATATTATTATCTTTGTTTTACAGGTGAGGAAATGGGGGCGCACAGAGGGCAAATAATTTGCTCAGGGACACATAGTAAGCGATACGAGTTTGTGTGACTTCAAAGCCAGTTAGTTCACTACATTAAGTATTCACAGGTGACTGATTCCTAATGGTTGAATGGGATTTTTAAAAATCTTAGTGTAGCTCTGCCAGTGTGGCTCAGTGGTTGAGCCTGACCCATGCACCAAGAGGTCACCGGTTCGATTCCTGGTCAGGACACATGCCCAGGTTGTGGGCCAGATCCCCAGTGGGGGGCATGCAGGAGGCGACCAATCGATGTTCTCGCTCGTTAATGTTTCTATCTCTCTCTCTCCCTCTCCCTTCCTCTCTCTAAAATAAAATAAAATAAAATCTTAGTTTACCAGCAACCTAAAAAAAAGCGATAAGAAGTATTTACATACCTTGATAGTTTGATCAGAACATAATACCACCCAAATTAATGTGATGGTATTTTGGTTCCATGATTACAGAATGGAGAGGTCTTGTCTGAGCATGAAACTCCATGCAAAGGAGCCTCATGGAAGCTCCTTACTCAGCTCCTCCCATTTCCTCGCCACATGGACCTCAGGAAGGGCCAGCACGGGACACAGCTTAGAGGGCAAAACTGCCTGTTATGTAAGCAAAGGACCGCCTCAACAAGACATGCAAAAATAACACGTACTGTGTTTTTATTTCTACCTGGGAGATTACTTAACACAGTGGTTCTCCAGAGTTTTACCGTGAAAACAATAATAGCTACTATTCCCCCAAGTCACCTCCCAAGGTAGCTTGTGCTACTTTCCAGACAAGGGAGCTGAGGCTCAGAGCAGCCAAGTGAGTTCTCCAGGGCCACACAGCTACGTGAGGCACGGGATTCAAATCCAGACCTGTGTGTCTATAAAATTCCCACACTTAGGGGCCCATGGGTTTTAGGTGTTAAAAAAGTATTTGCTGAGCAGACTTTATTAGTTAAAACGATTCTTTTCCCATTTCTAACTCATCAGACCTAGCAGAGAACTTTCAGTCAGCACGAGACCCTGGTTATCAGTATGAAGCCATGGATGTATTCGAGTCAACAGCAAAGAAACTTGATGTTTAAGTTAGCTGGTGTGGCTTTTCATAGACAAATGTGCAATTTTCTGCCAGACTGTTTGAAATATTCAAAATAGCTTTGGGATCCCCATTACTACCACTGAGGACCCTCAGGTGTGCAGACCCCACACTGGAAACCATGTCCCCAGTATCTAGCAGGCTGTCACTGTGAGCCGCAGATAACAGCTGCCCAGGGATGGAGTGAGGACGGTGTGTCGCCTCATTCTGGAGAGCACCAAGATGCTGGGGCGACCTCCTGAGAACCTCGTGGTGGGGGCGTCGGGTGAGTAGCTTTCGTTGCCTGTATTTGCTTTGGAATCGTAATAATTCTTTCCTTTGGGTTTTCAGATGAAACAAGGTTCTTTGTCATACCGGAAGTCATCTTTGAAGGGGATACAGTGACTCTGGTGTGTGAAAACGACGTTGCGTCCTCCAATGTGTCCTGGCACCATGTCGGAAGGAGCGCCGACATCCAGAACGGCAGCCAATTCTGGGTGTACACCACCGTGCTCAACAACATGACCTCGGTGTCGCGCCTCACCGTGTACAACATCACTCAGGGTGATGCGGGTGGGTGTCCACCCAAGAACTGGTGGGAGGAGAGGAGTGGAGAGCTCAGAAGGAAGCAGACCATAGAACACGTATACAGTGTTTGCATCTTCAAATATAAGTCACTAGACTCAACTTTTCCAGACGTAGCAGCCAATCAAATTAGTCTTGGGAAACATACAGTTTCCACATTGGCTGAAGCTTCGAAGTTGAAACCTGAGACAAAACCACAGACTTATGCTTTTAATTAAAAAAAAAAAAATTTAAACAGCTTTGTTGAGGTAGAATAGACATGTAACAAACTGCATATTTAAAGTGTTCAATTTAATAAGTTTAGATATATGCGTACTTCTGAAACTATCGCCCTAATCAGGATAGTAAACATTTCCATCACCTGCCCTCACAATGTCCTTATACTCCATTATAACAATCCCTTCTCCCTGCCCCTTCTTGACCCTCTCCCCAGCAACCACAGAAACATATGTCTTAACCTGACATTCTAGTTTAACAACCCCATTGGAATCCAGAGGTCACCAGGACCACCTTTTTCTCTGAATGAAGTTGGGTTGCAAACACACGGGCCCTGTCATCTTTGTTGAGCCTGATTTTGCCACAGAGTTACGTAGACTGCCACAATTATCCATAGTCTTCTAGTTCTCCAAGGCTTTCCTGGGCTGTTTAGACCAAGTCTCAGATGCTTTTGAAAATGAGATGAGACTGCCATTCTTCTAAGGTGATATATAGATATATGGTAATAAATGCTTTCATGTATTCTATACAGGTGAATATATTTGCAAACTGACATTAGATATTTTTGAATATGAATCCAGAAAAAAAATTAATGTGACGCCCATCCGAATTTTTGCAATCGACGAAATGAGGGTGACGTGTGACAGCAGTCCCGTCTCTCTGAACTGCTGCAGTGAGATTAATGTTAACTGGAGTGCAGTGGAGTGGAAGCAGGAGGGGGAGATAACCGTTCCAGGTAAGAATGTCAGAGGCCCTGTCACAAACAGGGTTCTGCCCCTTGGCCACGTAAATATGGGAGGTGCCGGGGGTGAAGGAGGAAATGCCAGACGGCTGTGTTTTCCTAGGCTTCAGACTGTGAAAAAGTACTAGGTTTGATGCAGCTTCAGCTTAGCCATTCTAGAACAAAATCCCCCAAATATATGCATACAAGTGTCATGCCTGGATTGTAAAGATTCTGGCAGAGAAGACCCAAGAGGCCTTCTGCCCCGATGACATAGGTCCATAGCATCTCCTGCCTGCAGGAAGGCTCGTCCCCACCTTCTTACCCTTTCTGCCTTCAGCAAGGAGTGAAGGGTGAGCTCATCACTTTTGCTTCTGAGGCTGTCTTGGAACTTCTTGTTTCTGTGTCTTCTCTTGCTGTCTGTTCTCGCTTCTCTGCCTTTGTATCTGCACTTTCTTCTATATTATCTAATTCTGTCTCTCTCTCTTTTTTATTATTATTATTTTTTAATCCTCTCCTGAGGATATTTTCTTAAATATCTTCAGATAGAGTGTGAGGACAGGAGAGAGAAAATAGATGTGAGAGAGACACATCAACTGGTTGCCTCCCGCACGACCCTGACCAGAGGCAGGGACAAACTGCACCCGAGATACATGCCCTTGGCTGGAATCAAACCCGAGACTCTTTGGTCTGCAGGCTGACGCTCTAACCGCTGAGCCAAACTGGCCAGGGCTCTTTTTTTTTTTTAAATCTCCTTGGGTAGACATGTTTGTCTTTCAATTGTCTCATGTCATTTTCTGATCCCGTTTGCTTGCTTTTTAGATCTGAGATTTATTTGAAGTTCTCCACCTTCCCAGCTTATACTGATGAGTGATAATAACAATAATGATAATAATGAAAATAACAATACCAACTTTCTTTGGTATAACAGTTGTGATTCAGCAATTTTTTAAAAAACATGTTATTACTTTTAATCACATTTAAAACTTGACCAGAAGTATGAAGCTGGTGGTTTTTTCCATCCAATTTTCGAAAAGAAATCGAGGTGCCAACTAAATGACTTATTCAAGGTTGCGACAATAGGAAAAGAAAAAGAATTGGGACTTGTGTCATAAGGCCAGTGTCTGTCTTAGCCAAACCATATCACTGGCCAGCGCCGGGGCGCCAATCTGTCAGTTTGTCCAGAGGCAGAGGCTGCTTTCTGCCTAGAGCCCCCGGATAATGACACCTGGTCCTCCCCTTAAGAAAGGACAGTGTTAGGTGTCTAGCTTTATCTGAAGGAATCATTACAATACAATGTGGCTTTACCCATAAAATAGATTAGTCATGGTGGAGACTTTCTTTTACAAAGCCTTCACTCTCAGCCTATTTTAAATTACAAAACAATGAAGTAGTGATGGCTGTGCGTGCACCTGCTCCTGAGCACATCTCTTTCGCTAAGTACATTTCAGCTGCAGCAAACGCTAAACACTTTAAAGCCCCCAAAGCATGGAAACGGCATCTGGTAACTGCTGCAAAGGTTGACACATGGTACGATTAGTCACTTCCTTGATTTTTAAGGAAGAGGAGGTGCAGGCATCCTGAAGGATCTGCCAGATGGGAGACAGACCTTGTGAAGTTGCCGTGGAAGCTTATGAGCTTCCACTCTGAGGGGTGAAAAGCGTCGCCCCGTGGCGGAGGGACCAGGAAGTCTGCAGTGCAGATGCTCAGAGACCTTTCTGTGGCCAGCCTGATGCCCAGTGCGCGATGACCCGACCTCAGAACAATGGGTTTCCTGTCACAGGGCTGGCCACCTGGGGACCTGCAGCAATCACGTCGCTGATGAATTTAGCCTCTGCTCTGGGCACCCTGCCCTTCCCCCCCCCTCGGCTGCCCCCTCTCTGCAGCAGTCTTTCTCCAAATCCACAGGGGCTTCAGCACCCACTTTTCCAGGCCAGTAAGAAACAAAGTAGCAAAATAATTCACCCAAATCATTTGGAACTGATGTGTTGCCACACCTCAGAATCAGATACATGTCCTTTTCAGAACATTCTGGCAAAGGATAAGACAGGAAGAAGTAATCAGCCATAGTAAGATTTCTAGCTTTAAGGAGGGGGAGGTCTCTTGAATAGGGAGGGCTTTCTGCAGTTTTTCAAATCAACAGGCACCAACTATGATATTAATGATCATGGTAATAGAAGTAATACAGTAGTTCCCCTTATCTACCAGTATGTGTTCCAAGACCCCCTGTGGATGCCTGAAACCAGGGATAGTACCGGACCCTAGACATGCTGTTTTTCCCTATGCATACATACTTATGGTAAAGTTTGATTTATAAATTAGACACAGTAAGAGATTAGCAATCATAACTAATAATAAAATAGAACAATTATATTATAGTAAATTATGTGAATTTGGTCTCTCTTTCAAAATCTCTCGTTGTTACCGTGCATGTAGTGTGCATGAGATTTCATCATGCTATGGAGAATGCTGCAATTCAAAACGTATGAATTGTTTATTTCTAGAATTTTCCACTTAGTATTTCCACACCACAGTTGGCTGTGGGTAACGAAATGGCAGAAAGCAAAAATGCAGAGAAAGAGGAACTACTGTAGTATGAATGTTAGTAGTGATAATAGCAGAGGCACCAGGAGTTATTATTACTAGTGCAGCTTCTTGTTTTCCTTTATCTAATACTAGCTTTGACTGTGTAGGAACGAACAGACAATTTGGGGGAATTTAAGGGCAACTGAGTTGATTTTGTCACCATCGCTCTTCTTGTGTGGCACGATGATAAAAAATAATGAAGTCTTCATTTTCTTTTTGCCCACAAGCTAGAACAGGGCTGAAGTGAGTTCATAAGCTCCGTCTGGGCTCTGCCTGCCCTGCATTCCTGGCCCATCGTCATGCAGATGAGTCATCAGCAATCTTTACAAGAGGGTGTTGGCCCCTTCTTGGCTGACTGAGGAGGGCATGTGACATCATGGGGCAGCACCCCGAGGGACTTGTGGGGAGGAGCAGCCGCAGACTCCAGGGCTCCCTTCTTTGTGTCTTCTCTGCCCAATTGCCCACTTAAGTTTTTACGCTTGGGTTATAGTGCGTGCTTGTGCGCGGTCTGAGATGCTATTTTTGCAGCCAAACAGAGCAAGAGGAAGAGATAAAGAAGTGAGACGGCCGTTTTTCCCTGGTTGAATAGAAATCAGTCTGGTGCCCTGGCCAGTTTGGCTCAGCAGTTAGAGCGTCGGCCTGCGGTCCGGAGAGACCCGGGTTTGGTTCCCGCTAAGGGCGAGTACTTCGGTTACAGTTTGTCCCCGGCCCTGGATGGTTGTGCGGGTGGCAGCCACTCGATGTGTCCCTTCACGTCGATGTTTCTCTCTCTCTCCCTCTCTCTCCCTCCCACTCTGTCTGTACAAAAAATGGAAAAATAGCCTCGGGTGAGGATAAAAAAAAAAAGAAAAGAAAAGAAATCAGTCTGGTGGCTTTCATGTATGTCACGGTGTGTGGTCTGCGTGATCTTGTGTGTTTTTCAGGTTTTTCCTTGTGATTGATTTCTAGTTTCATACCATTGTGGTCAGAGAAAATGCTTGCTCTGATTTCAATGTTTTAAATTTATTGAGACTTGTTTTGTGTTCTAACATGGGGTCTATCCTAGAACATGTTCTATGGGCACTTGAAAAGACTGTATATTCTGCTGCTTTGGTGTGAAATGCTCTGAAGATATCAATTAAATCTATCTCATCTAGGATGTCATTTAAGGCCACTGTTTCCTTGTTGATTTTCTGTCTGGAAGATCTATCCATTGATGTCAATGGGTTGTTAAAATCCTCGACTGTGACTGTGCTATCTCTGCCTCCTATGTCCCTCGAGATTTGCCTGACATATTTAGGTGCTCCTATGTTGGGTGCATCAGTGTTCACCAGGGTTGCATCCTCTTGTTGGATCATTTTCTGTATCATTATGTAGGGTCCTTCTTTGCCTTTGTTCTAAAGTCTATTTTTTTCAGATATAAGTGTTGCCAGCCCTGCTTTTGTTTCATTTTCATTTGCATAAAATCTCTTCATCCATCTCTTTACTTTTAGTCTGTGTGTTTCTTTCCTCCTGAGGTGGGTCTCTTGCGGACAGAGTACTGTGGGTCCTGTCTTCTCATCCACTCAGCCGCGCTGTATGGCGAGCCAGGAGGAGTCGGCCTGCCCCGGCACTGCAGCGGGACCGGCTGGGGAGCGACCAGGAGTAGCAAGCGGCATTGGTGGAGGCAGCAGTCTCCATGGCTGCACGTGATGGTCACCCTTTCTGTTTTCTTTTTTAAGACCAGGTGTCAGGGCTTAAATTGTTTAAAGCAACCGAATTGGAATTCGGGTTTGGGCTCCAGGCAGTGGCATATGTTCTTAAATGTCACAGGAGATTTTACTGGGCAGAGCGGAGTGAGAGCCGTGGATTTAGTCCAGTCCCTCATTTACACACGAGGACATGCCTTCACGACAGTGGCCAAGGGTTCCCTCCTCACCCACTGCCCTTCCTCCTTCTCCTCTGTGTCCCTCTGCGTTCCCAGCAATGCCACAGACAAATCCGATCTTAAGTAGCGATTCCTCCACTTCAAGGAATGCCCACCAAATTGGACTTTTAAAAAAGAAAAAGAAAAAAGAACTTGAGTCAAGTCTTCAGTCCTGGAAAAATGAGCCTTACAACCTGTGGTTTTCAGTAGGACAGCATCTGGTCCTGGGAAACTGTGATCCCGGCCTAGCCGTGCGCCCCTGTCCTGATGTGAGGGGGTTGGGTCCCCTCGTTGACTCCCAGAACTTCGTCCATTACATAGTGATAACGGGACCTACATGACAAGACTTTTGCAGGGAAAAACACTGAAACGATAAATTTACAACAGAACTGACTGCATTGAATCTGCCACACTAACTATTTTCTGATCACAGCCATAGATTTATAGGCCAGCCGCTCACTTTTCCTCAGTGTGGTTGGTGGGAAATTTGCACTGGACATGAGCTCATCGTAAGCGGCAAGCCCGCAGTTGCGCACCATCCCTTGTCCAGAAGGCCCGGCCCCAGCTCCTCAGACGCACTCAGCACCAGAGGGGCAGGACCCCCAGCTCCTCAGACGCACTCAGCACCAGCGGGGCAGGACCCCCAGCTCCTCAGACGCACTCAGCACCAGCGGGGCAGGACCGGCAGCGCACGGCCCCCGCTGTGCTGGGTGAAACGCAATGTGAATGCTGCCGACTGAGAGTTCCCACCTCTGATCTCTGAGTTTACCATCTCTTCGGAGCCCGACCTCCACTCTTTTCCTGCAGGGTTCAGCCTCACAGAACTACTGTTCCCTGTCCCCCCAACAAGACCACAGGCTACTGCTTCTGTGCTTTGCCTTCACCGGTGGATTCTGATTGAACTATGGAATCTTTTCTTCAAGCAAAATCTGAGTGTTTGCCTAATGTACTTTCCCCCATCTCGGCACTCGTGACATTTTGGGCCAGATCACTCCAGCAGAGGGGAGCTGTCCTGTGAGTTGCAGGATGTTTATCAGCATCCCTGGTCCCTGCTCACTAGATGCCAGTAGCAGCCCCAGCGGTGACCGTCAAAAATGTCCCCAAATATTGCCAGATGTCCCCCAAAGAGGCAAAATGGCCCCTGGTTGAGAACCACACGTCTGCTGTGTAAAGCAGACCTGAATGGAGCTGCTTAAGTTAGAGAAAGGTGGGGGGCTTAGAGTCCCCAGGAATTTCCCATCCCCCAACCCAGCTCCTGAAGCGGGGTCATAGAACACCACGCTCTCCGACGGGCGGACTCACCCACACCACGTACCCACAAGCGCACATCAGACGCCACAGCCACCATTTCTGCCCGTGTCTTTCAAGGCCTAGAGCAAACTTTCCCTCTCCTCCGAAATCTTCCAATTTTTAATCTCCCCCCTTTGATCTCCATTCTGAATGTATCTCTCTCTTATGAAACCCATCTACTGGACCTTATATTCCTGTATATGTGTTTATATGCCCCATCGTGGGTAGCTCATTTTCTTGCACATTCGTCTGGTGAGAAAGCTGGGCTTGAAGGATGAGTAAGAGTCAACAGGAGGAGAGAAGGAGAATTTTCCAGGTGTGAGCACAGGCAAGCGGGATGAAGCTGCAAGGCATGTTGAAGTAGGACCTAGTATTTAAGAGACTGACATAGAACGAGATTAAGAATGCAGAGGCCGAGTGAGAGCATACTGTTAATAAATACATATATCACACTAAAGAGATTTTAGTGTATTTTGTAGGCAATAAAAAGATTTAAAGGTAAAAGAAGAGAATTAGATGGTCGGGCCTGAACTTTAGAAAAATAAATTTTAAAAACTAAAAATAAACTTCGAGGTAGTGTAGCCAATAGATTGAAGGACCAGATAACCAAAAATAGAGACCGAGTTACCACAGTATGCAGTTGGCAGATACTAGATAATGGTGCCTGGGCTAGAGACCACAGGTTGGAGTGGAGAGGACAGTTGTGAGATGATTTAGAAGTATAACCTAAAAACTTTTACAACTGATTGGAAGTGGGATGTGAGGCGATACAAGGAATTAAAAATGACCTTAAGATTGTTAATTTTGTGAATTGCCACTGGCAAAGAAGAGAAGTATGAGAAGATGCACAGGCTCTGGGGAGAAGAACACCGAGTTCCAGTTGGACGTGTTGACTGGGAGGTACCTCAAATGTCAAATTGGCACTGGGGAATTTGCTTCTAGAGTTTCCAACAAGAGTGTCTCTTAGAGCTGGAGTGGAGAGATATCCAAATACAAGATATAATAGGAGCCGTGGTGTAGATGACATTGCCCAGTGGACAGTAGAGAAAACGACAAGAAAGCGTCGATATCAGAGGGCGTGGGGCAAGGCCAGTGTCCTGGGGAAAAATGGCCAGTGCCACTGTTTATGAAGGCAACGGAAGGCAAGGAGCCTTGGAAGGAGACCCAGAGGAGGGATGGAGAGACAGGGGAAGCAGGAGAGATCTGTGGACTTGAGCAGACCAAGGCAAAGAGAAGGTGGTCGGCAGAATGGGGTGCTGCAGTCCAGGTAGCTGGGGAAGAAGCCACTGGATCTGGGAAAGAGGAACTCGCAGTTGGACGTAAGGAACACTGTAAGAAGAGCGAAGGGGGAAAGAAGGCAAACGACAGGGGTTTGATACAAAGTTAGAGTGGCGAATGCAGAAGCGTTGTGGTAGGAAGAGAAGAAGAGAATGCAGTGATTAGGAAGATTATTTTAGGAAGGGAGAGGAGTATACCTGGTGGTTAGCATGAAAGAGCCCAAGGAAAGATTAAAAACACAAGAGAGAGGAAAGATAAAGGATGAAACAGGGCCTGGGGGAATTGGAAGAAGTGGGTTTGCAAAAAATAAGCGGAGGGCTGAGCCACAGAGACAAGTCGGGACACTTAGCCTACGAGCTAGGAGGTAATGTAGGGGATCAAGGGGATGAAGATGGAAATCAGTTTCGTGTTTTGAACAACGATTTGAGGGATTGGGAAGAAAAGCTGGTTACATATCACTCAAAATATTTCAAATATCACAGATTATTCAGCCAAGGCCAAAAGGATGCATTTAATGTTGGAGCCAAGCAGAAGGTCTATTATTTTTCTTTAATTTTTGGAAGATTAGTGGTGTTGGAAGGATGCCTTGAGAGTTCATGGCAGGAAGCAATATTAGAGGAGGGAGGCCCTGGAGGAGAAAATATTCACCAGAAGGGGGTTACAGAGCCGCAGGCAAGAAATAAAGGTGGCTTGGGGGCATGGCATCTGGAAAATGAAAAACAAGGTTTTGAAGAGGAAGCGGCTGGTAACTTGGAAAAGCATGAAGCTGAAGCTTCCAATAAAACATACAGACTAATAAGAGGGAACATGGTATGAAAACATTTCTCAAATGAGATGAATAGCAGATGTTCCAGTCTTGTCTCTACCTCCTTTCTATAGTAACAGTCTGTCCCAGCCAGTGTGGCTCAGTGGATTGAGTGTCATCCCATGGCTTGAGAGGTCCCGGGTAGACTCCAGATCAGGGCACGTGCCTGGCCTCGATCCCCAGTAGGGGGCGTGCAGGAGGCGGCCGATCTATGTTTCTCTCTCTTATTGATGTTTCTCTCTCTCTCCCTTTCTCTCTGTCTCTAAAAAAAATCAATAAAAACGCATTTTAAAATATAGTGATAATCTAAATAATCTGACAATTTTTTCTTTCCAGTGGAAATCATGTCCAGAGACCTTTCTTCTCTTTCTTAATTTTTCACATTCTAACAACCATCATGACTGGCACTGGTCTAAGTGTTTTTATATATTAACTCACTTTACCTGACTGCCATCCTGGGCTGTAGCTATTATTATTCCTCCTCGTTTTACATCTGGAGAAACTGAGGCACGGGTTAGTGACTTCCTCAACAACACCCTGCCAGTAATTGCTTGAGTTTGGGTTCTGCAGCCAGGCAACCCGGCCTTCCAGTCTGCAGACAGAACCGCCCAGTCTCCCGCCTCCTCTCCACCGAAAGAGAAGACATCGAATTTAATTAATAAGTCATTTCCACGGATCTGGCCTCTCTGCTCCCGACTCGAGGGCCAGCCACCTGTGACTGCAGGACTGCTCATGTCATTGCAGGAAACTCGGAGACAGAATCGGGCTCCAGCTGCAGCAGGTACACCCTCACGGCCGACGGAACCCAGTGTCCCAGCGGGTCGGCTGGAAGGACCGCCGTCTACACGTGTGAGTTCGTCAGCGCCCACGGAGCCCGAGGCAGTAAGAACATAGAAGTGACGTTCACGGCTGTGGGTAAGGACGCCTACTAGAATGTGCAGCCTTGGCCTCGAACCCAGCGCTGCCCATCCACTGGGAATGTCCAGGAGCCACAGAGCAGGGCCTCCCCTGGAGGTGGGAGCGAGAAACGGCGGAGGATTTCCCTCTGTCCTGTCGCTGGAAACCGGTCAGATGGCGAAGGTGGGATGGGGCCAGGTGCGGGGAAGGAACAGCCTGCCCTGGGCGCTGCGGCGAGTGGACTGGGAACTGGTTCCACACGTCGATTAGTCCTATTGACGCTGGAGTTTATAACGGGAATAGCACCCCTAATTCTCCCCCCTTCCTCCCATAATTCCATTCTCCCTCCCTTGAACGACAATAGCCTGGCTCTTCCCCCACCACCCTCCACCTCCGCTTGTGGTGCCTCCCTCCCGTCCATCACCGATTCTAGGAAGAACGCTGCAGAAAGCTTAACAAGCTGGTATTTTGTGGTTATTTTACAGTTGTAGCAAGTGATTTTTAATATTCCAATTAATTCTGCTTTCTTAGGCCCCTTAAAAGTAGCGTTTCTTCTCCTCATATCATAAGGCACTATAACTTCAGCCCTGTCTGCACAAACAGGGCAGCCAACCTTGCTTTTCCACCCATCTTACAAAAACGAACTCTTTAGATAAATCATGAACAATTTGGAGAAAGGACTGATAGAGAGGTCCTTGTTACTCTTGTTCACCTGTCCTATTGGGGTGACCTGGCATCTTTACAAAAAGCAAGATTAGGCTGATCTGAAAGCTCATGGCCGTCCAGGAGCCTTTTGAGCGCTGCTGTGTGTGGCGTTTTAACCCCCCCGACTTGTATCCTCAGGTGGGCTTTTGGTCACCTTAGGGACAGGTTTAGCCTTCGCTGAAAACCACTGGTCCGGTGGTTTGGACCTGTTCTGAGAATCGAGAATGGGAGTCCAGGAGCCTTCTCCTGCTCTCTCTCGCAGAATCCGCTGTCTCAGCCCCAGAAAGCTGTCTCGAGCTCCCCACAGCGAGTAAGGGCAGCGCCAGGGATGCGTCACTTTATGCCTGGGTGACTTGGGGGCTGTACCTGAACCCTTGACTCCCAGCTTCTCAAGGGCACTGTGGAAACCCTGAGTTTTCCGGTTATGACTAAGGATCAGATTTGACACTGGTTGGAGGAGCAGGCCAGCCTCAGTGGGCTCGAGGCATGAGCTTGAGAAGACAGAACCAAATGGCATATTGAAATGTCAACTATGTGTCCTGGCCAGTTTGGCTCAGCAGTTGGAGCTTCGGCCTGTGGACTAGAGAGTCCCGGGTTCGGTTCCTGCTAGGGGCACGTACAAAAAAAAAAAAAAAAAGAAAGAAAAAGAAGAAAGAAATGTCAACTATATAACAGATGCTCCAGGAGCCAGAGGCAAAACTAGTAGGATGTTTACATAGGTTTTTACATTGGTAAAGGTCTTGTTAACATTCTTGGTGAATACATCCTCATGAATCTAGGTCCTAGGAGGAAATTCTCAGAAAGAGGAGTAAATGTAGAGAGGCTTATAGTTAGGGTGCCTACATCGCCCAGTTCTCCTGAGACAATCCGGGTGTAAATCTTTGGGCAGTGACCCCCCTACTGAAAATGTAGCTCCAGAAATCACTGCTGTTTAGCAAGCACAGACTGGGTAATAGACCCAGGTGCTAAGCGCTGGGGATGCAAAGACACAGAGGAGAGAGTCCACGTTTTTACAGAAAAGAAATATAGAAAGAAAAAAATTAAAATACAATGTGGTATAATTTTTAAAGTATTTTAAAAGGCTGGAGAATTAAGTTATAAGAACTGAGCCATTGAATGCCTCTTGAGGTGTCGTGGAAGAGGTTGGAGGGGAGCTTGGGTTAAGTCAACATCCCTAAGTTTGCAACCTTTTGCCCTGCTGACCATCAGGAGATAAATCCAGCCACAAAGGGGAAGTGCACGAGCTCCTCAGGCATGTGATGGAAATGAGTACAGTTCAGAGCACCACCGGGAACAGCCTAGAAACAAGTAAAGCCCAGGAGCAGCAAGGTACCAATCCCGCGTTGACACAGTAGTCAGGACGGTCCACGCTTTCTGTCTCTCTGTTAAATTTCACTCATGTGTCGATGGCACCAGAAAGACTAAACGTTATACTTGTTGTCGGTTTTCTTTTGTCTGTTTTGTTTGCATTCTTTCAGCCAACATAACAATAACTCCGGACCCAATTTCTGTTTCTGAGGGACAAAACTTTTCTATAAAGTGCATCAGTGATGTGAGTAACTATGATGAGGTGTATTGGAATACTTCTGCTGGAATTAAAATATACCAAAGGTTTTACACCACGAGGAGGTATCCTGATAGAGCGGAGTCCGTGCTGACAGTGAGGACCTCAACAAGGGAATGGAACGGTGAGTGGAAGGCCAGCACCCCACTTCGCTGCCTGGAGCCCCGAAGCATGCGACAGTAGTTCCCATCCACAGAGGGCCAGTCCTGGGACATGTCTGTGCCAGCCACTTTACATTAAATATGTCATCACATTTCATGCAACAGTCCTTTCAGGGAAGATGCCATTATACCCATTTTACAGATGTGGAAACTGAGGCTCAGGGAGGCTAATAGATCTGCCTAAGCTTGTACACCTTAAGTTGTAGAGCTAGGGTTAGAACTTGTCTCTGTCCTAGAGCCTGTGCTCTTGCCATGAAGTTAAGAGGATTTTAATTAAAGGTGCTTTTACCAGACTTTTGGGAGCGTTTCACCCAATTGTGGTATCAAAAAAATCTAGATAAAGGATTTATATGCCTGGTTCCAAAGGAAGAAACATTTTTGTTTCCTATTTATCTCTATACGGTATTCATGTTGGGAAGAAATGCGAATCTTTGGGGGGAGGGAAGAGAATTTGATCAAACTGCTGCAATACCAGTTGATATCATTGAGCTCTTTCAATGTGATAGACACTGCTAAACGTTAAGATGTGTTGATTCATTTAAACCAATAAACTGATTAGATGATGCTAGCATCACCCCCATTTTGGAGATCGGAAAACTGAGGCTCAGCGAGGTTAAGTAAATTGCCTGAGATTATACGTCTCGTAAGTGGCAGGGCCAGGGGCCAACCCTGCACCACCTCATCTGACGTCTCCCATGAACTGTTAGGTTAATCAGTCCAGACTCTGTGACTCCCAGGTCTTCTTCATATTTTCCTATGAAAACCAGCAATGTTGTAGAAATAACTCATTATTGTTTGGCTGGATTTGGCAGTTAAAAAAAAGAAAATCAGAAAATGAGAGTGCTTGTCTCCCTTTGCTGAGCTCACACCTAGCTCTGTCCAGATGGCCCTTTCCTTCTACTGGACAATCGCTTAGGAGGAGCTGCAGCTTTTCCAGTCGCCTCATCTATTACACATGCTCATACCCAAGAGCTAAAAAATCCTAGTCTCATCTGAATCAACTGCGCATGCGTTTGCTATTGACTTTGAATTTTCCTGCCCTCCCGACAGAATTGCAAGGAGTTCGCTCTCTGTTTTGGTTTTGCCTGCTTTCCCTCCAGCTAGCTGCTGCTCTGGCTTCTCCAAAGTCGGAGCAAGGAGAAGAAATGTGGAAACAATCAAAGGGTCTTACTAAATTGCGGGTGCTCTTCTCATCTTCCCGCACTGTCCCATGGCGGGTTCTCCGATAGAGGCTCTTCCTCTGAGGGGCCCTGGCATGCTCTGCCTTAGGAAAGGGCCTTTCAAGAAACTCAGCCAAGTACGGTCCACAGTCCGCTCTGCCTCACCAAGCAGCGGGCGTGCCGGCTGCCCCTGCTGCGGCCTCCCCTTTGCTCCAGCGAGGCCGGGCAGCCTCTGATCTTGCCACTTTCCTAGATGAGAGTGAGACACCGGACACCTCGCTTCGGGGTCCATAGGTGGAGCTCTCCCAACACTTCCCCCTCTTCCTCTCCACACTCCTTGGTGATACCGTGGGGTCCTGGAGTAGCCTGTTCATTTAGAGATGGAAAGAGGGGGCGTCACAACCTCCCAGTGTTCCACCTGGGTGACAACTGTCTTCAAAGGACTTCCCATCCCAGCACACACCAAAATTCCCATTTATTCCCTGGTTAATGAAAGAGCCTTGGCGTAGGTATCAGAAACCTGTTTTGAAACCCGATTCCATCCTAACAGACCGCATAGCTTTGGATAAGCTACTGAGTTTTATTTGAAAGTCATTGAATATTTACTTACCAGGGCCCTTGGTAAGTCCTTCAAATACATAGAGCACCCAGGAGGGGAATTTATCCAATATTTCTTACCCACTGTCCAGGAAGGTGTGGTGTGTCCTTGCTCAAGCTTGACAAGGACAGTTAAGCCTCTTCTCAATCTTCCCAGCAAATGCCATTTTTGGAGAGATGATTTAATTCCATCTCATTTTGCTTCCGTCCACTCAGGAACCTATCACTGCATATTTAGATACAAGAATGCATACAGCATCGCCACCAAAGACGTCACGGTTCACCCGCTGCCTCTAGAGCAGAGCATCCTGGTCGATCCTTTGGAAGCTTCAGTTCCGTGCAGAGGCTCCTACCACTTCAAGTGCTGCGTGGAGGAGGATGAACACTATGAAGTAACTTTCCGCGTGGATTCGCTGTCCTTTCCTGCTGGTAAGGCGCCAGCGGCTGAGTTGTTAGGACATAGTCTTTCCTACATGCGGAGTCTAAGAATGTACTCGTCAAGCAGACATGGGATTGCTTCAGAGACGGAATATAACAGAGTGAATCCCAAGAGCCATTATTGCCTTCTCTTTTGCTTTATTTATCTTGTCGCAAAATCTCGAGAGTCTGTGAGGATGGAGAGGCTGGTTTTGGTGGGAGCTGTTGAAGACAGTAGTAAGATACCTGCACAGGTCTTCTGCTTCCTCAGTGTAGCTGACGAGATATTCTGATAGGCCCTCCCTCCAAGCTCTGAATCAGCATACTATAAAAATGCCACAAAATCCTCTTAAATGCACAGCTGAGCACGCAAGGAAGTAAGAGAAATAGCCAAGTGCCAAAGATAAAGAAGGAAAAAGTAGAGACAATATCTTAGCTGATGCCGGGCTCCCTTGAGGGCATCTGCCGATACAAGAAGCCCAGAACCTCGGGTTTGAAAGCTCTGATGAAGGAAAGGTCTTGCTCCCTGTGCAGTAACTAAGACCTCACCCCCCAAACACACACCCCAGCACAACGTCAGGACCCTTGAAAGGTGACATGCTCATTAAAAAAAAAAAAAAAAGACTAGAAAAGCAAAATTCACCTGCCAGAGTTAAGAGCTTGTCCTTGTCTCTGGGTGAGCAAAAATTTTCTCTGAGAATTATAACTGTCCTGCCCTCTCTCAGGTTTGGGGTTTGAATTTATACTACGTATGTGGTCCGGGAACTCCAAACTGAGGGGTAAGGTAGTCCACGGCTAACACCCTATGGCACTTGGTAAAAAAAAATTCAAATCCTCTGTGGTAGAATGTGTCCTCACTCTAGATCCCTCAGGATTCTTACGGATTAAGGTCAACCAAGTATGAGCTCACACCCCCAAATGTCAAAACAGACACTGTCATGAGCAGTTTACATCCATTCTTTCAAGAACTATTCCTGAAGACCTACTCGATGCAAAACAATTAAGTTAACAATGAAAAGTAGAAAAAGCAATTAGGGCACAGATATTAATACACAGAAGGGCTCATGCCATAAAAGACAATGCCTATAACATCAAATATCCAAAATGAGCACAACAGATCAAAAGAACCCTGGGAGTTCAGAAAAGTGGGGACCCAGAAAGTCTGGAAAGCTTAAGGAAGGTTGCCTGGTATCAGTCTGGGATCAATCTGACCCCTGAAACAGTCAAGCATTTCAACATTCTGTGTTCCGCATGTATACATTCAGTGCTCACTAGATACTGGGAGAGGGAAAACCAGACAAGACCAGGAACCTTCTCTCCAAGACCTCACAATCTAGTGGAGGAGACGGACCCATAAAGAGGCAACTCTCAACCGACGCGGTGAAGGCAAGACCGGATAAACGCACAGGACATCACGGGGTTTAGACAGGCAGAGGGCTTTCTGAAAGGCATTCCGAGTGTCTGAAACTGTGTGGCCACAGATTAGGGATCATGAGGGGTGAAGTTGTGCCTAGCATGCAAACGTGGGTGGGCTTACTTACCTCTAGGCTGGAGGCATTTAAAAAACCACATTAGAAATGAACGCGGCACACGCCTGGGTAAAGTTTTTACAAGTGTCTCCCTAGAGAATCATTTTAACGAAATGTGTGCTTCGGATACTCAGCGTTGTGACTGAATCCTTTCCATCGTTCTGTCTTAGCAAAAGAAGTTCATGGAAAGCAAGTATGCTACAAATTCAATTTCGTGGCAAACGCGATGGTTTCCTGGTGTCCAAAACATGTCGACGTGTTCTGTGACTTCACCAATGCCGCTAATAATTCAGTCCGGAGTCCGTCTATGAAGCTTAATCTGGTGCCTGGTGAGAGCATTTCCAGTTATTTAAAAATGTTATCATCATGGGCAGGAATTTATTTATTCATTTGCTCCCTCATCCATCCATTCAATAATATATGCTAAGCCCCTTCCTGTGGCATGCCTGAGGCTAAACGCGGGGGATTTGAAAAGAAATAAACCATATTTCCTGCTCCAAGCTAGGGGAGAGATAGATGAGATCAAGACTGTTGTCACATATAATGGGGTAAGTGTTAAACTAGAAACTTCGTGGGTGGCCCGAGAGGCTGCCTGGTTTAACTCTGGGGTGATAGACAGGAGGGGAGGGGAGGAAGTGATCAGGAAAGTCTTGCAGATGAAGTCATGTTTTCGCTGAGTCTGGGGGCTACGCGCTGCACCAGGCAGACAAGAGTGGGCAGTGTCTGTGTGGATGGAGCTGAGACCCCTCTGAGGTTCTAGCAAAGGAAAGGTGTCCCCGCTAGTCCTGTCTCTCTGAGACAGGGCTACATGAAAAGAATAGATTTGAGGACTAGGTAGCTGTCTTTCCCATCTTTCGTCATCACTGAGCCAATATCCCCCCACTTAATATTTGCAATGTAAAAGGTCATGATTTGCGGAACCATTTCACAGTAGCCCATGCTGAAGAGCTCTCCCAGTCCTGGGCTTCCCCCAAATCTTCTCTGTAATCGGACCCCTGGTCTGAGAAGGATCCGTGGCTCTGTCACCAAGCTTAGTTGAGTTCACTGAGTGATTTCTGGTTGTTCTCACCTGTTGGTAACTGAGCCCTGGAACCAAAGCAGGAAGCAATGTCGAGTTCTCTGTCTCTCGGAGTCATGGTCCCCTGACCCCTTGAAGCACCCCTCTTCCAGGGGACAGCCAAAGTCCCTTCATTATTCCCCCATCTTAGCCCAGCCATCACCCTATTTTATTCGCTTTTTCTCTTTCTTCATACCCTGTGTGATATTCCTTCCTTCCTCTAGTAGAGCATTACTTATGTCTTTCAAGATTGTACACATGGCTGAGAACTCCATTAATGATAAGTTAAAAAGTTGGTGAGAGAGGGATCTGCTTGTCGGAGAATCGGGGTCCCCTGGCGATGGAAGTTTCTGCAACAAATGTCCTTTTCCCATTCAAGTCTGGTCGCGGGGAGAGGTGGGACAGGGTCACCCTTAAGGGGAACCAGAAGGAACAAATTCTTACAAATATTGTCTAGAATATTCAGCCATGGTGCCTGGAGTATTTACTACTGACTATATCTTTGGATTAAAAGTGTGCTCCCAGCCTGGCTGTGTGTTGGAATCACAGGGGAAACTTTAAAGACTGCTCGTGCCTGAATTCTGGCCGGAGAGTTTCTGGTTTCCTGGGGCTGCAGGGAGCCTGGATGTTCGTATTTCCCAAGCTCCCCGGGTGATTCTAATATGCCAGAGTTGAGAGTCTTTTGCATGTAGGCATCATGTTCCTAAGACTCCTGGAAATTCCAATTTCTAGGAATCTTCTCTGTTAGGAAGAGTAAGTACAGATTGAAGTCAGATGTATGTGGAAGCACCAAGAGGCTTTGGAAAATCAGGGGGAAAGTGAAGAAATCGGTTACCTCCAAAAAGGTCACTGAAAGTCAAGAGAAGGATGAATTCCACCATCAGACGTCAAAATTCTGCCTGGGCCAGACCCCACTTCCACTGCCTTTCTCCTCCTTTCATTTGTGCCTTTTATGTCCATGTTTCCAATGCAGGAGAGAACATCACGTGTCAAGATCCCATCATAGGTGTTGGGGAGCCCGGGCAAGTGATCCCCAAGCTCTGCCAGTTCTCACACCAGCCCAGCAGCCCGGCAAGTCCCGTTGGCGGGATCGTGACTTACCAGTGTGTGGGCTCCCAGTGGAAGGTGAAGAGCAGCGACTGCATCTCTGCCCCGCTCAACAGTCTGCTCCAGCTGGCCCAGGTGGTCCTCACACCCTTCACTCGGCTCTCGGAGGGGCAGTCCGTCCAGCTTCTCATGTCTCAGCACTTGGGAAAATGGGCCTTGGGCTGGTTTGTGCTGTTCTCAAAACTACTTTTATTTGTTTATTTCTAAACAAGGCACAACCCTAGGAATGCTTAAAAATTTGCTTGAATGCAACTATGGAGGTAACAAAATACGTGTTTCACTCTAAAACCAGCTCCGTGCCTTTCCTTCTCAGTACCTTGTATCCATCACCCACAAGGGGAAGGTAGTATTGTCCTCGCCACCTGCTCTTGCTTGAATAATTTTTATATCAAGCAAATAGCTCTAATCTTTTCAGAAAGAGGAGCAACATGAAAAACAAGGTTCAACAGTGGAAAATAAAAAAGGGTGGACTCTCTGCTTTTACAGGTGTGAGATTTCCTCAATCCTTAGAGTAAACCTATAGTTACAGAAGAAGGGACTAACCTGTTTCTCTTACCTAGAACAGAGGTTACTGCCATGTGGTAGGGGAAACTCCTTTCCTTCCATCAGAATAGATAAATGCTACCTCATGCTTAGGTCACTGAAAGTTAGAGACTCCTAAAATTCCATGAGTTACAATAAGTACTGATGAGGTGACCAGTGGAGTGATAGCAGATGGTGACATCTTCGGACAGCTGGTTCCAAAGCCTCTTACCCTTGAGGGAGGATTGAGGAAAAGAGGTGATATTGATTTATGCTTTATCTGATTATCTTCTGTCTCTTCTCTTGTCTTATACAAAATTCATTAAAAATACCTGCTATGTGCAAAACGTTATTATAGATGCCATCCGGATAAAGGGGCCAAATCTGATTTAATAGAGAATATTAATATTAAATACACATTAGTTTTGGCTAGGATAATCAGAAAGCTCTTCTTGAAAAACTTGGCATCTGAGTGAGCTATGATGGATAAAGCATTGGGTATATAAATTATCTTAATTAAGAAAGACAGAGATTATAATTTGAATTCTACACTGGGCCATGGTCCCAATTCTAGATACCTGGATACATTTTCAATGAAAAAGGTGTGCTGGCTTTTCACACTCCATTTGATTTATGCACTCAATGTATACTGTTGAAAACCTATATGCCAAGTTAGATGACTTGTACTATGTTATATATTGTGGGATAGGAGAAGAATAGAAATATAACACATGGTTCACACTGTTAAAGAGTTCATAATGTAATCAGAGACATGGAAATTAGAACACAAGATGACATTGGTAGAGATATCACAAATGTGAAGTATACTAAATAAGATGAATAATGAATAGATTCCCCTGATTTGGAACACTCATCAGAGTTCTTCATAGGGAAGAATTCAACTTGAGTTCATGCTTTAATTTTAAGTTTGAGTTAGTTAGAAAAAAAGGTGAGATCATAGTAGATATGTTGACAATATCATTTATAATCAAAACCAGGATACTTTTTGAAAATAAAAGAGGGCACTTTTTTTTTTTTTTTTTAATCTTCAACTGAGGACATGCTTAGAGGGAGAGAAAGAGAGAGAGAGAGAGACATTGATGTGAGAGAAAAACATGGATTGGTTGCCTTCCATACATGTCCTGACCAAGGATCCAACCAGCAACCTTTTGGTGCACAGGATGATGCTCAACCAACTGAGCCAATTCAGCTGGGCAAGAGAGTACTTTTAATAACTACATCTACTTTTCTTTCGTTTACTTTTTTTAATTAGTCATCAGGTTGGCGTGTTTTTCTGTTCTCCTATATGTGAGGTCTTGTGTAATACTCCATCGTGAATGGCACAATCAGTTTAAGAGAAAAATAAGTTATTTTATGGGATATACTTATGGGCATGGATAAAAAAGGGAAACTGCAGATAGAGATTTTTGTCATGGTGGATCAGCAGGGTTGGATGACTGACCTGGTTTTGTTTGTTTGTGTTGGCTTCTATGTTACTAGGCTCTGAGCAAAAGCCCCTTTCAGGACAAGAAGCTGCCTGCCTACCTGAAGAATCTTTCCGTCAGCACAGACAAGGTGGCCCACGAAGTCAGTTCATCTCCTGGCAACCTGGGAGCCATTATTAGCATCCTTGGTTTGCTCTCAACAGTTCCAATCCAAGTGAATTCAGAAATGATGACGGTGAGTTTGTTTAAGCCTTGCAGGAGTTTGGGGGTCTTGTCTTTTCACCCCTCAGGACTTGTGGTCAAGAAAGATAACACCTCCCCATAGAGCATCTTCTCTGTCATTTCTACAGCGATGCCCTTGTGACAAGAGTCACATGCATGCTTTGCTACCTGTGATTTTAGGACATCAGGGAGTGTTTCCAATGTTCATTTGGGGACCTTAAGATTTCTTCAGTGAATCTCTGTTTTAATATCTTCATTAAAATAGAATGGATTCTTCTTTCTAGGAAAAGTAGGAATGAAAGGTTTTCGGGATAGGATTCGCAGGGGTCTAGCATGAAACACGAACTTTGAAGTAGCCAGCGTTCTGGGAGGAAAGAGAATTCACCTGCAGGAATGCTGATGAAGAGACTTTCAGGAAAAGATACTTAAAAATATCAAAAAAAGAGGTGGGGGTGCATTCAGAACCCAGCAACATTTAGGAGCCATTACTACCTTCAGGACGAAAGGAGAAAGGGCAGGAAATGGTGGACCCCCAGCTGAGGGAGAGTTGAATCCTTGGAGGAGGGGTCACTCCGCAGGAGCTAGGGACATAGCTATTGCCAAAGATGCTCTTAGACGGTGTGGATGGGGGAGTGGGGTACGGTGGGTGGTAGAAAAATATATTTCAACATTTTTCTTCTGCCATCTCACCCCCTGTCAACGCTTCCCATTGGCCAAGCCCGACCAGAGACCACTGGCAAGCAGTTTGGAGCAGGAGGGCATATCGATTTCCTAGGGCTGCTCTAACAGTCTGCTACAAACGGGGTCACTTACAATGACGGAAATGTATTCTTCCATAGTTCTCAAGGCCAGAGGTTCAAACTCAAGGTGCCTGCAAGGACACGTTTTCCCCGAAGGCTGCGGGATTTTAGGCTTGCCTCTTCCAGAGTCTAGTAGCTCCAAGCCTTCTCGGGCTTGTGGCTGCCTCAGTCCAGTCTCTGACCTTGTCTTCTCAAGGTCTTCTCTGCTCCATTTATCTTCTCTTTTTCTGTGTCTTATAAGGATACTTGTCATCGGATTTAGGGCTCACCGAGGTAATCCAGGATGACTTCCTCTCAAGATCCTGCCCTTAGTTACATCTACAAAAGACCCTTTCTCCAAATAAGGTCACATTCACAATGCTCGTGTATACAACATGTCGTTACGGGGGTCACCATTCAGCTAACTGCAAGGCTCATCATTCCAGAGAACAAAATAAGGCACAAAAGGGTAGAGAGGTTACACTGAGAGAAGGCACGGATGGAAAATGACAAGCCTAAGTTTATCAGAGAATCAAAATGTTTAGCAAAAAAGGAAGATGCTTTTGACAATAGCATTGCTTGTTTGACGGTCAGCAGTTGAGAGGGTTTTTTTGCGATTACCTTGTGGGTGAAATACCAGCCACCGAAAAGCCTTTACAAGCTTGAGAGTAAAGATAATATAAAACTATGAACAAAGATCTCTGACAGCTGCCGAGTCGGGCTTAGTGAGTGGTTGAGGGTGGTTCTCCCTGTCACTAATGCTAAATGTTTAACGGAGGGAGTCTCACTGTCTTGGGGAAGCCACTCTTTGCTAACTCCCTGCTGTAACAAGGTGGGTCCCAGATCCCCACAGCCTGTGATGCCTCCTTTTTGTCTTCGCTTTTCCTCTTTTGTGTACCCCTCAACCAGTTTCGAGGGAGGTGTTACTTTTTAAAATATGTTTTTGTTGAGTTTTTAGAGAGAGAGGAAAGGAGAGAAAGATAGAAACATCAATGTGGGAGAGAAACACTGATCGGCTGCCTCCTACATGCCCCCCAATGGGGACTGAGCCTGCAAACGGGGCATGTGCCCTGATTGGGAATCGAACTGGGACCCCTCAGTCCATGGGAAGACACTCAATCCACTGAGCCACACCGACTGGGCGGGAGGTGTTATTTTTTATCTTTTATGATTGAAAGAATTTGGTTGGTTTGATCCCATGTCATGTCAATTGCAGAATGTTCTTTCTACGGTCAACGTCATCCTCGACAAGCCCATCCTGAGTACGTGGAAGGCGTTACAACTGCAACAGACCAACCACAGCTCACAGCTACTGGAATCAGTGGAAAGGTTTTCCCAAGCATTACGGTCAGAAGATAGCACCGTGTTGTCCATCTGCCACACTAATGTGCAGATGAGGGGCATGGTAATAAAATCGGGCTCCCCAAAACCCTACAAACAGATCTTTGCTTTCTCAGACTCCAACCTCTGGGGCGATGTGGCTATTGATGAGTACCACCTGACGAACCTGCAGCCAGATTCATCTGTCGTCACTGTGGCTTTCCCTACTCTTAAGACCATCCTTGGCCAGGATGCTCAGGGGAAGAATTCTGCAAACAGCTTAGTGATGACAACCACTGTCAGCCACAAAATAACCACACCATTCAGGATTTCAATGACTTTTAAGGACCACAACTCCTTAGGTGGGAAACCACAATGTGTCTTCTGGAACTTCACCCTGGCCAACTACACAGGGGAGTGGGATAGCAGTGGTTGCTACACAAAGGTGGATGGGGACAGTGTCCTCTGCAGCTGTGACCACCTAACATCATTCTCCATCCTCATGTCCCCTGACTCCCCAGACCCTGATTCTCTCCTGAAAGTACTACTGGATATCATTTCTTACATTGGGTTGTGCTTTTCCATCCTGAGCTTGGCAGCCTGTCTAGTGGTGGAAGCCGTGGTGTGGAAGTCCGTGACCAAGAACCGGACTTCCTATATGCGTCACATCTGCATAGTGAACATTGCAGCCTCCCTCCTGGTTGCTGACGTCTGGTTCATTGTGGCCTCTACCATCCGGGACCATCACTACGTACTCAATGAAACAGCCTGTGTGGCTGCCACCTTCTTCATCCACTTCTTCTACCTCAGCGTCTTTTTCTGGATGCTGACTCTGGGCCTCATGCTCTTCTACCGCCTGGTTTTCATCCTGCACGATGCAAGCAAGTCCGTTCAGAAGGCGATTGCGTTTTCTCTTGGCTACGGCTGCCCTCTTCTCATCTCCGTCATCACGGTGGGGGCCACGCAGCCCCAGGAAGTCTACACGAGGAAGAATGCCTGTTGGCTCAACTGGGAGGATACCAAGGCCCTGCTGGCCTTCGTCATCCCAGCACTGATCATCGTGGTGGTGAACGTGACCATCACGATTGTGGTCATCACCAAGATCCTGAGACCTTCCGTTGGAGACAAGCCCAACAAGCAGGAGAAGAGCAGCCTGTTTCAGATCAGCAAGAGCATCGGGGTCCTCACGCCACTCTTGGGGCTCACCTGGGGTTTTGGTCTTGCCACTGTGTTCCAGGGAAGCAGTGCTGTGTTCCACATTGTGTTTACCCTCCTCAATGCCTTCCAGGTAAGTTCTGAAGGGCCAGTCTCACAGGAAGTGTCTCTGCAGGTGGGACAAATTAATGATAGAAACACAAACAGGAGTGGGAATGGGGAAGGATTTTAGTTGGGAATCTAGTTCCGAGGAGGACCTAGCCTTAAAGAACAGTCATCACACGAACTCAATGAGGTAGAAAGCACACGTTCCTCTGTCCCCATGGAACCTCCTACCTCTTATCACCTGCATTATAATTTAGTTGCACATGTGACTCTCTTCCAAATGCGCTGGTAATGCAAGGAGGAGGAAAGTCCCTTCCCTACACTGGATTTCTCTATTTACCCACTATTATCTCGATGTCATCTATCATCTCCTAAATGAAAAAAAACCCTCTATTAAACCACGTAATCTCTTCAGTTAATTTCCATGAACGTTAAGTGAGCCCTGTCTTTGAGAGGTCAGCACCACATAGTATGTTCTCTGGAACATTTGCTGAAGAATGAAAGTATGAGTGTCCTGTATAAGGTGGACACTCTGCTCTATTGCTCTAAGCTGGAAAAGACGCCCTCTTTGCTCTCCTACAGCCCATAACTCATCATAACCCAAGCTGAATTGTTAGAAAGCTTCAGCTGAGGTACGGAAAATAAGCCTTTGGAGTACAAGGAAGGGAATGCTTAGTTCTGATTTAACCGGTGGATGGGTAGTCAACACGGGCTCCCATGAGCCAATGAGGAGGTAGGTGGTCGGGACGTGAAGGCGACACGTCGCCCCCTGGGTGCTCACACCAAGACCATGCAAATTCTAGTTTCTGCTACTGGGCTCATGGCTCCAAATTATAGGGCTCACGTCTAATGACATTCATAATGTGCCTTGACTAGAAGGAACCGATTATTCCGCCCTGTGGCCCAGGCCCTCATCACGACTACAGGAGGGCTGCTGTAGGCATAAGAGCACATCTAATAGCACAACCAGCAGGACCTCCACTTCACAGCTGGGGGAATACGGAAATAGAAAACTCCCTGATACCATTAAAACATTTGAAGTCCCTTGGTGTGGACCTGCGGCATCCCTTTCAACATGATCATCTCCTGGACTCAGTCCATAGACAGGCGTGGGAAGAGGTAGTACAATTTAAATGCCAGGTTAGCAATACTTCCTATTTCACTGGACAATAGAATATGATTAAAATGTACTTCTTCCCAATTCTCCCCCGCCCCCAGGGATTATTCATTCTGCTCTTTGGGTGCCTCTGGGATCAGAAGGTAAGAATGTGACAGTTCCGTGTTCCTAGAAAAGTCCGAGGTGCCCATGGCATGTTGAATTTATGATAGCTTTTTTTTTTTTTTTTTTTTAAACAATTCAGGTGCAGGAAGCCTTGCTGAAAAAGTTTTCACTGTCCAGGTGGTCTTCACAGCACTCTAAGGTAACTTCCTTTGTAGAGGCTTCTGAAACACCCTCTCTCTCCGCAGCCAGCTTCAGCATAGATTATTCCATTGTTGTGCTGCTCCCCTGATCCCACCTATTAAGTGCAGCTGTGGAGCTGTCATTGCGATGCTGTCCCCACCTCTTTAAACAGGGGTCAAATGGCACAGATCATGTCAATTGGAGGTTGAAATCAACCTTCAGTGGCAAATAAACAAGGCGTGTCAGATGAAACGCAAGGCAGGAGAGAGCACAGTTTGAGAAATGATGAGGGATAGAATTTTCTGTAGTTGGTTTTGGAAAATAACAAATGCACCCAAATATAGTTCACTGTTTTCACGTCAGAAGATACTAAGCTGTATAACAGTAAAATACGTACATACATATATATACACACATATATACATATATACACACATACATGTGTGTATATACACACATGTGTGTATATATACATATGTGTGTATATATACATATATGTATGTGTGTGTATATATGTGTGTGTGTGTATATAAAAGTTATTTTCCTGATACTGATGATAAGATTCCAAAATTTCCTGTTGCTCCTGCTTGACGTGAAGGAAGTAGAAATTCACGCTTGTCCTGGCTCTCCCCTTGAAATGGGATGAGAGCTATTCAGGAAGTGACCACTAGAGGGCAGCAAGTGAATCCTACTAGAGATAAAGCAGGGCCTTGGTCTAAGAAGGCACTTACCTGTCTTTTATTCTCTTTCCTAGTCAACATCCCTAGGTTCATCTACACCTGTGTTTTCTATGAGTTCTCCAATATCAAGAAGATTTAACAATTTGTTTGGTAAAACAGGTATGTAGTGACTCCTAGATGCTCCCTGGATTGACCCAAGCAGATGCGCCGATGGGGAGGGAGTCTCCAACCCCCCTTTTCCCAGTCCCCACTCCTGGTATTTACAGTGAGTGGCCTCAGGGGAGACAGGTTAAATACAGGAACTTGCTTATGTTTTCCCAAACCACCAGCAGTTGTTACAGAGGGTAACAACAAATGACATACAAGGTGTAAAATTTGGAGAATCTAGAAAAGCCTGGAGAGAGAGGTCTGTCAAAACCGTGTCAGCCGTCCCATTGGGAACTGCCGGCCTTGTCCAACAGAGTTCTCTTCTATTCACGTGAATACGACTGGGTGGCTCATGTTTCTGGGCCGTGGTGCAGCAAAGAATATGTGCAGAAAGACTATTATAGGAGCCCACGCTCCAGGTTTCTTTTCCTTTTTTTGGAATTTATAAAGTTGTGCATATGTATATGAGGGATCACCCAAGTCAGCTATTGTCTCGGAAACACACACAGTTAAATCCCTGGAGGTACACGATAAATAACACGGTTGGCTCTGGGCAGGGAGTCCCAGTGTTCTGGCAAGTTGAAACTCTGTCCCATGTCACCATGTCGCCAAGAAAATAAGCAGGACAGGTTATTTCAGCTTCTCGAAACCAATCAGACCTCACAAATGTAGGTCTAGAAATGTGTCCATATTCTGGACCAAGGCTTTTAAAAATGCTTCTTCGCTGCTAAAACTCCAGAGGACTTGGAGTTCGGGGTTTCAGTTTGAGGCGTGACACAGGGAGCGGGAGGACGTTCGCTTTGGATTTTGAAAGTCACGGTTTGGACCTGCTGTGAAGTGACGAGCTCTTCAGGGTGCGTTCGAACCATGGCACTTGACCGTCGTTGGCCCTGGAACGTGTTTACCGCTTGCATTGAAGCGAAACTAGGAGAACTCGATGACATGATTCTACACAACATATAAGGCCAAGAAAGATGTTTGCTGTTTCTGAATCACTCAGATAAAAGTCGGAGTTGGGGCTCTGTTCCCGAGGTCCCAGGGCCTGGGGTTCCCCGTCACTGCCATTTGACAGTCTCTTCTCGGGTCATCAGTGCAGCTCGCGTGTGCCTAGTTGAGGGGTCCATAATCACTGTCCCTTTGGTTTGTTGTCAGCAGCCCCTCAGGGCCCAGGCAGTGATGGCAACCCTGTTAGCGGTGGCAGCTCGCCCATCTGATGGTAGGGTGGCCACTGTGTCCCTTCCCTTGCTCGACACAGGCTCCCCACCCCGGTGCGGCCCGGCTTCCTGCTGGCACAGCCTGTGGCAGCTCTGCCCCCCACTGCCCTGGCCTCAGCACTGTCCTTGGCACCCTGACTTCTCTTCTGGTCCTGACGCGTCTTCCCTGTCGTTTCTCCTTCCTTCCATCCCTCTCTTTCCCTCCTCACATCCAGCTCAGCTTCCAGGCCTTCCCCAAGAGCTTCCCCAGGTCGCCGCAACCCAAGGGGACCAGGGAGTCCCTCAGATGGATGTCCCCAGGCCCGTGCATGTGGACGGCTGCCCGTGCTGGGATCTCTCTGTCCTTCGTAGAAATCTGGCTGCTGGTGTGATAGGACGTAGTTAGTGCTTGTCTTGTCGGCTGCCACGCACGCTTGAGGACGAGGGCTGTGTCTGTCTCCGGCACCGGGGTCTCGGGGCGGGCGCGGGTTCGGTTCCGGCGGCGAGCTCACCTGGACTAGAGCGCCCCCGCAGGCCTTCGGGAGAGCCACACCGCGGCCATCACGCAGGCTGGGCTGTCCGGCTAAGCGGCTGTTCTGTTTTTCAGGAACCTACAACGTTTCCACCCCGGAAACGACCAGCTCCTCCTTGGCGAACACGTCCAGCGCTTATTCTTTGCTCAACTAAGACCAGGAAAATCCAACCCTGTGACCCTCGGGGACAATGGATGTGCTCTGGAAAAGATGCCCTCTCCAAGCCCCGGATAAATGCTTCTTCCGCAGGCTTCCGGGAGCAGATGCTGAAGAGACTTTTTCTCTAGGGAGGGCCTTTCCTCTGTAAAGACAGACTAAAAGTCATCGTTCCCTTTATTCTGCTGCCCACCTTTTGTGTGATACCAAATGTGTATAGTATTTAAGTGAAACGCAAGTCTCCCAAAGCCCAATGCATGTGTCTATATTGTAAAATAGAATTTCAAAGAGACGTTTTCACTTTTCACAGGTTGGGCACAAGGTAAGCTTTGATGAAAATAACAAGTAAAAGGCTGGTACCTAGGAGATACTTCAGTCAATTCAAGGGGGGAGGGAAGGAAGGAAGGAGGGAAGAGGAAGGAAGGAAGGAAGGAAGGAAGGAAGGAAGGAAGAAAGGAAGGAAGGAAGGAAGGAAGGAAGGAAGAAGGAAGGAAGGAAGGGAGGGAGGAAGGAAAGAAGGAAGGAGGGAAGGAAAAAAGAAGGAAATAAACAGAGAAAAACAACATTCAGGACCACATTTTAAGATTTCCATGTTCATCATCTAATACAATTAGATAATGCAATTGAGAATTAAAAAGTGGCCCAAAAATGGAGACTGAAAGAAAGCCATGAGGAAGGTTCAATACCTTCCTGGTTTTTCTTAGCAAAGATGGGGGGAAGCAGGAGGGACAAGGTAAGGAGAAAATGACATCATCAAGTCATTTTCAAGTGGATAACAGTATTTATAAGAAATGTGTGGAAGGAAACATGATTCTACTGACGTTAAACACACACACACACACACATTTAAGGTTTGAGCTAAGTGGAATGAATATGAAAAGAAAATGTGATAACCATCCTTTATCAGATCCAAGCAAATCTAACTGCTGATCACATGTGTATAGTATCAGAAAAACTTTATGTTTTGGTTTGTCCCACGTTATGAAAGCAAAAAAAGAATACATATTTTTATATCCGTTCATTGCCAAATGTGATATATTGCACTGAAAACAGATCCCGACTGTCATATTTAACAGCTTCCAGGTACTTCTCTGTGCATTATAGAATATATTTTAATAATCTACAGCATTGTATGTGCCTGTTGTCACTGTGGATTTAGCGGGCCATGGCGTGGCATAGAGCTCTCTGTGTATTAGCTCTCTCAGTCTGTAAGTTCCCAAACCAATATACATTTAGAGTTTTGTACAGTCTAATTTGTGTTTATTCCAACCACTTAGAAATCTTCCAGAAAAAAGTTCTACCGCTGCTAGTCTATGTTCTCAGTGACACTTTCCCTTGACCAACAGATGGTGGAGGTTTTCCAAGAATTTGATTATTTGTGACGTGTGTGTGTGTGTGTGTCTATCTTTCATACAAATACCACTATTTATTAAAATCGCACCCATATTAAAGTTATCCATGTGCTGCAGCTACAACAAACATACGTTCCAGACAAAGCCATAACGAGACAAGGAAAACGTGGGACTACTTGGGAAATGTGGCCGGTGCTCCTCAAGCGCCGAGGACCTGTCAGGGAGACAGGACCAAAGAGGCTGAAATTCAACCGCCATTCATTTCTCAAGATTGAAAAGAGTTTTCTTTTAATACTTCAACTCTTTTAAAATCTCCTCCTTTAATTGTTGATTCTAAATTCTACCCTGGCTTTCTTTTCTTCACGGGGGTGGGACCGGGGGAAGTGGAACAGACAGAAATATTAATAACATTTAAAGTAAATGAACTCTATTTCCACACGTTCACGAATGACAGAGACATTGACCCCCGCGTGTGCCGAGACCGGCACTGCCCTCTTCCGACGGGTGGTTCGTGATTTCACGCCCCTAAGGGCCGTGTTGCCAGGCTGTGGGGTTCTCCGGGGCCGGGGCCCCCTGGCAGAGTTCGCACCGGGAAGCCGGAGGCCCTGTGGAAGTGGAATTAGATGTTAGGGGAAGGCCGGCTCTGACTGCGCCGGTGCCGGGCTTAGATCGGGGAGAACGGAGGCCGGGTTTCAGCGCAGTGTCAGCAAGGCCCCTGGCACCATCCGCCACGGAGCACAGTCCTCGGGAGGAGGCGGTGGCTCTCATACTCAAAGCCACAATGGGACAAGAAACACTGACCTTCCACCCACTTCTGTAGGGGTCCCTTGGGAATCATTGAGTGTGACCTCTGCAATGGCAGGAACCTTTGGCCTAGTTCCACTGAATGTGCGCCTGGCCCTCCGCCAGCATTCGTTAACGGAGGCACGTTCCCTTCTCTCTCTCACACGCGCGCGCGCGCACACACACACACGCACACGCACACACGCACACGCACACGCGCGCCTGGCACCTTGTGAGCCACAGCACTGGATGCAAATTCCAGGGAAGCTATGACAACAAAATAGTGGAGAAATACTTGTTGGATTTCTGCCCACCTTCCAGGGACATAGTTCACCACTGCTCTTTGCCGGGAATATCCCGAACTGAGCAGTAGAAGTCAGAAGTGTCAAGGAGAGCATCCACGAATCTGTAGCTCTGATGGAAGCAGGAGCCCCTCTGGGCCCTGAGGTCACCAGTTCTCACTCAGCAAAGGTCACAGGGTTCAGCAGCAGATTTCTGAGGGCGGGAAGAGGAGGAGGGAATGTGCCTCCGTTAACGAATGCTGGCGGAGGGCTAGCTCTGATGTTGGTTGCAAAGCGAGGTGTGTGGCCCCCGTGCTCCTGACATCTCTCAGGGCATAAAGTCAGCTCCATGGCCAAACCTTCGTGGCCTGAAGGGACCATCCGTTGAGTCAGTTTTTTGCAAAGGGATCTGTGCTGATGATTCAGAGTTTATCAGGTCGAAATGTCCAAAAGTGAGCAATGAATATAAACCACAGAAATATTCTGAGAAAACTGTCAGTCCAGTGGAACACTCCATTTCTTTTTTCTACTTTATTACATGTGTTGGGGTGACACTGGTTAACAAAAGTATGTAGGTTAGAGGTGCACAATTCCATAACACGTCATCTGTACACTGTGTTGTGTGTTCACCATCCCAAGTTGAGTCTCCATCCGCCCATCACCATGTACCCTCCATCCCCTCCTCCACGCCCCCCCATCACGTCCTCTTTGGAATGAGTTGAGTGTCTGCTGACCTCTCCCCTATTTCTTTTTTTTTTTATCCTCACCCGAGGACATTTTCCCATTTTTTTTTGTTCAGGTAGAGTGGGAGGGAGAGAGAGGAACAGAGAGAGAGAGAGAGAGAAACATCGATGTGAAAGGGACACATCAAGTGGCTGCCACCCGCACGACCGACCAGGGCCGGGGACAAACTGCAACCGAGGTACATGTCCTTAGCGAGAACCGAACCTGGGTCTCTCCGGACCGCAGGCCGACGCTCTAACCGCTGAGCCAAACCGGCCAGGGCTCTCCCCTATTTCTTATTGTTCATATGGAGAACGAGGTTAATAAAGATTCATGGATTTTTCAGGATGTGAGTTACTCAGGCCAGACATGAAGACACATGGTGGGAAGTCACGCCCTTTGTTTGTAGAGAGAACTTCACAGGCGTCTGCATTGGGAGGTTAAAGAAAGGGTTGCATGCTCCGGCCGGTTTGGCTCAGCGATTAGAGTGTTGGCCTGCAGTCCAGAGAGACCCGGGTTCGGTTCCCACTAAGGGCATGTACCTCGGTTGCAGTTTGTTCCCGGCCCCGGTTGGGTCGTGCAACCACTCGATGTGTCCCTTTCATGTCGATGTCTCTCTCTCTTCCTCTCTCTGCCTCCCACTCTATCTGAACAAAAAAACGAAAAAATGCCCTCGGGGTGAGGGAAAAAAAACAGTTACATGGAAACAAGGAAGGTCATAGCCAACAGTAAGTTCAGAAGTGGGGCCACCGCATCCTGAGGGGGAGATTCCTGACGTCACAACCACTTGAGAAGACAAAAGGAAATGAGGGTGGTTGTGGAAATCCATGCAGGTGGAATGCGTTGTTTGTGGCATGTGACGGTGATGTCACACGGGCCTCTGCACCCCAAAGAGAAAGTCAGTGACTCAGGCCAACAGCTGAATTCCCTGAGTGTGCAAAACAGTGGTGCTTACGGAGGATGTTTCTTTCTTACGTATTTTTAAAAGTCTATGAAAATAGTGTCTCATCATTTCAAAGATGTTAGCTTTGAAATGAGTGCTATCGGTTTCTAAAATTAGAATTTAGGATTTAAAATCATGGCTTAGGAGGTCAGTACACAACTATGCTTTCTTTCCATGCTTATAACAATAAAATATTTCCCAAGAGCTGGTAAAAATATATAAATCGTCTGCCCTTTCGCAATCTGTTACTGTTGCTGTCTCAGGCTCCGCCCATGTCAACCACAATTTAACTCCAGTATCCAAACAGTGACTGATCCTTTCCATTGGCCAGGCATGGGGGTGGGGGTGGGGCAGAAGCTCCCGCTGAGCTCAGCTGACTGACAGTGCTGGTGCCTCTCCTCACCCCATCCACACTCCCGCTCAGCACGTGGAGCCCAGAAGCTTACAGAGGGTTTAAACCGGGGTCCTGGAAGGAAAGCTTTTTAGGACCTACGTCTCTGGGAAACAAGCAAATATTTGTTCTAACATCTGTGTGTGGCTTGGCTGGAATTCTCATGGACAGCTGAAAACAAGCCCCAGGAGTTGTTAGCCATAGATATTTCTGCAACACGGCCCCATAGCTCCTGTATGTTCTGTCGCTGTGTAGCACATTACCACAAGCTTATAGGCTTAGAATAACCCCCATTTGTTATTGCACAGTTTCTATAGGTCAGAAGTCTGGGCGTGGCTTCACGGGGTCCTCTGCTCAGGGCCTCACCGGGGGCTCCTCCTCCAAGCTCACTGCTGTTCAGCAGAATTCCATCCCTTGTGGTTGTAGGACGGAGGCCCTCAGCTCTTAGAGGTGCCCTGCTGTCTCCTGCCATGTGTCCCTCTCCACAGCACGACACTTTGCTTCACTCAGTAGAACTTCTGTGCCGATTCAGATGTCTCTGACTTCTTCAGTCTCTGATCTCTAGACTCCTTTTGAAGGACTCACCAATTAGCTCAGGGCCATCCAGGACAATCTCTCTTGTGATTAACTCAAGTCAGGTGATGAGGGACCTTAATTACATCTGCAAAATCCCCTCACCTTTGCCATTTATTTATTTATTTTTTATTTTTATTTTTTGGTATGTGCCCCTAGTGGGAATCGAACCTGGGACTCCCTGGTCCACAGGTCGACGCTCCAACCGCTGAGCCAAATCGGCCAGGGCACCTTTGCCATTTAATGTAATGCACTCATGGGAGTGATATCATATTCCCAGGGCCTGCGCACAGTCAAGGGGAGAAGATCATACAGAATATTTTCTCAGATCGTTTAAACAAACCAGCAAAGTTA